TTTGGGCAAGAGTTCACGTTTCAATAGCAAAATACAATCTGACTGTGAAGCATTGAAAACAAAATCCGTGAACTTTGATGGAAAGCATCGATTGAAAACACGTCAGTTGACGGGCCGATTCTCATCGAAATGCTTTGAAGACGGACGTCGTGTTGCACTTAGCCTGAGTCATCAATCCTGCCTCACTGGACTGTCCAGCCAATCAGATTATTTGCAACTCAGTCGATCGAGGAATCAGCAAACTCCACTACAACCAGCGTGAAATATCCGCTGCTACGACAACACAAATCAATTGGCTCTCGGTAAACAATATCAGTGAATTGGTCTTAACGTAGCCGCTGGAATGCATTCCACAGGTTTACTTGGAAATGAAGGACCTTAGGAATTCGAGCTACAACTAGACCCCAATGACGATGTGTTCAATGTCCACACCGGCGAAACCTACGTCCACACGACGAAAACAGCTAGCAGGCAAGTTGCCTGCATCCAACGTAACCATAACCACCTACCTTCATGATCCGAAGGCAGGTAGATGAAGCTGTAATGTGCATGAATAACCTCAACCTTTTTGAATGAGTGAGAAACAAGAATGATTTGCTCATTTTTCGTCACCGGTAGCGGGTTAATTTTAATTGGGCGACATCTAATCTTATAGACGACGTTTGGATAAATTCAAGTCAAGCGGTTTTGTCAAATACAGTTTTGGTGTCAATATGCACGCCGTACAATCAGAAAGTGAGCTCCTTCTTGCTAAAAGTTGACCCCTACTACCCCAACCAAATTCACTCCAATCGATTTCTATCTTTCGCGAATAATATAAATGCTCAGGATTTTGATTGAGTGTAAGTGGGAACGATGGCGCCGTTTTTGGTTTAACCTCATCCAGAGAGGTTTTCTGAAACACAGAGTAGGTGTCAACCTGCAGCTTACTCGGTGTTCGTAGAGACGTCTCCGGGATCTTCAGGCGACTGGCTCTGAGGACGTGGATGTTGAGGCGTTTCGTGGTGACGTTGTAGGCCAGACCACAGAGAAGCTCCGGCCAGTTCGCCTCCCGCCCCTCGGCCACCTGACGAGCGGTCTCCAGCTCCGGCAGGTCGGTTGTCGCCACAGACGGCGGGCCGCGGCTTTGCGAATTCGACATTCGTGAAATCGAGGAGCGCTTGCTCGCCCGACTGTGCAGCGAGAGACGGGAACCCATGCGGCTGGCGTGGAGTCGACTCAAGTTGTCGCCGGTGTCGCTGTCCTACAACACAGAGGCGACACTGTTCCAGCTTCAACCACGAAGAAGGCTGCCAAAAATGCCGCAAATGACCTTGATGCGTGATGGAACGTCATCCGATGCCTTTGAGTCGATTCTTCTTCATTAGCTTTGATTTATCCGTTGTTTATATCGGATTCTTACTGGGCGCCGCTTACGTTTCGCCGAATGAGCGAACAGTACGTATGTTGAACGCTGCCTCATCTCACAAATTTTTTGTACAACTTCACTGGTTGACATTTTACTCAATTTACTGTTAAACGTTCCAAATCATTCTTTCTTCTCTGTTGGCTTGTTGTGTCAGATCATGCTCGTGAGGCGAGTTGGTTGTAAACTAGGGTGCTTTTATTTCATTTCCGGCATAAAACATTACAAAGACAGATGATTGGTTTTCCTAGGAACTAAATTTTCACATGAAACCAATTTTATGAGAAGCTCTCGTGCACTAAGGCACCCTGCAACGTTGCACCAAGCCGCCTTCCACAAATGTGACTGGAATGTAAATGCAAATGTAAAAAGGATCTTAAAAATTTGTGACAAAATTGATCTAAATTGTGAAGCTACTAAGAAAATTAGTTTAGTGTTCAAATATGTACATCTTAAAGACGCAGTGAAATGATTGAATCACCATTATATCTGTTATTGCATTAAAACGCAAATAAATGAAACAACAAAACGTTTCTAGCGTCACCACAAATCCATAAAATCGATAACAACACGATAGGTTTAAAGAGTCAATTTGTGGAAGACCCAGTTTCCAACAATATCAGAAAGCGTGGCCTTGATTTGACCTTGAGGATTTAAACAAAATCCGGTTTTTGTCACCATTACGCACAATTTCAGTTTAAAATCAACACCAGAAATTGTGCTGTCCCAAAACACACACGCACACACACAACTTAGAGGCAAGGCGCCAATCAACAAACAAGCATTTTTGACCAAGAAAGCCTTACAGAATCGACAACACTTTCGCTGCCAACTTTTGAGGCGAGCGCGAAGGGGAAGTCGGCCTCGCCACTTCGAAGGTTCAGCGCAGCGAAGGCGACGATGGACTCCGCGAAGATGAAGTGGCGTCGAAGCTTCTTGCAGCCGTACAGACGCAACCGCAGCGCCGCCTTCGCCAGCTCGTCTGCCAAGGCAAAAGTTTACTTAAATCATTTAAGTAAGGGGGGGGGTGGTCACTCGCACCTGGAGGATCGCATTTTGCTTCGAAGAAAGGCCCCATTCGGCTGAGTGTTAAGACGGGATGTGTGCGCTCCAGATTATTGTGGTTGCCATGGTAGCAAACAAGTTTCAAGGTCAATCACTTCTTTTGAGTTATGTTAGCCAAAATAAATATGAGATGTTTGTTGTTGTGGTTAGGCAGACTAAAACAGATTAAGTTGCAAAATCGAATTAGAGAGCTAAAATTTAATTAGTTTAAATCCTTAGATGACTGGCATTAACAAAAAACAAAGAAAGTTTTTACAGGAAAGCATTCTCCGATGGAAATAATTTTGCACAAAATACTGACATCCGCTAACACGAATTCGTGAACCAATTGGATTGGCGAAAACGCGTGACTCACCCGGTGTCATGCCCTTGAACACGGCGGTTTCATCAAAAACAGGATCCGGAGCAGGAATTATGCGTGAGTGCCAGCGTTTCTTCTTCTTCAACCCAAGCACCGCAATGTGAACCTAGGAGGGGCATTGTCAGAACCATCATACGACGTATTTCCATTCAAGAGAGGCTAGTGTGTCTTAGAAATCCGATTTCTGACGATTTGCGCATTTATTTTGGCAAATTTACCTCTAATTCACCATTTAAATCGCCCGGACTGGTCGACTGATTGTGATTGGCTAATGTGGCACAGTAAAACAAACCTGGTAGGACTGCGATCCCGCGCGATCCTCGCCGGGCGCGTTAACAACTTTGTTAACTTTGATGATCAAATCAGACACCTTGTAGTCCACCTTGATGTGGGTGTGTATCGTGGTGTTAGCCGGCAATATCACAGCATCTTGCGGTGTCTGCAAAAAAAGCGGTAGATTAGCAAGAATTTCGCTCTCTCGAACCAGCAAATCAGAAACGTCAACCATCTACGGTCAGAGAGTGATAAAGACACAAACAGGTTAGAGTGACAAATATCAAATAGGACGGTGCAAAGTGTGGGTTTCACTGATCTTACGTGCGTCCAGCTTCTATCAGTGGCCTTTTTTATGCGATCACTCCTTCGGTAAAGCTAGGAGACAGAATGGAGTCTTCGTGGTCAATGCCAAGCACCACAACTAGATCTGGATCTCCCAGTGATCTCATTTATGCTCAAACGAGCGTAAAAATACCCAGGTCTCTGCTAGACTCCACTTGATTGGCTAAAATAAGGTCACACGTGGTTACTCAGGAGACCATTCCGGGAAGTTGTCAAGGTCAAAAGCAGATTGTAAATGAGTAGCAAGACCTTTCAAAACAGGCAAATCGTTGGTGGTTCCATGATAAATAAAATTAGATAATCATTTTGCAACCTAGGTGTTCTTGCATCACACCGAATTATCGTTTCACGTGTCTGGAAGACATTTGGTGTGATATGCGGCAGCAAGGCTGTTCTGTTCTTTTAAATAAGCAACAAGTAACTGCAGACTGATGAAAATTTTACACGAAACCAAAAAATTACGGTATTTCATACTTGATTGCTTTGAGGCTGCCAGTTGTAACCCTTTGGATAGGACTCTTCTGCAAATTCCTGTATCGATGTGGGTCCAACAGAGCCTTAAAATATTGAATAAATGTGCTTTTTAAGTGGTTAGCACCTGATCTGGTACAGAAGCGGCTGATTGTCTTGCAACTTTGGTGATTACACAAAAAACTTTCGCAGACGTTTTAATAAAATTTAAAGAAACCGATGACACCTTTGCTTGGTTGAGGATCTCAAGTCAATGCCGACTGGGAACTACTTCATACGTGGGGTTTGAGCATGCTTTCCCCATCGTTGTCTTATCATTTCCTAGAAAACACGTTCCACCGAATTCGATTGCAGGTTTTCATTAAAGATACTAGCTTTCACAGGCCGATAAATCCATCACAATTTTGCTAAATTTACTAAATCTATTTCTGAGACAGACAGGGAAGGACTAGCCGTTTTTCCCATTTAATTTTAACTTGCTTTGAGCCATACATTTTGCATCAAGCTTTTGAGAAATCGTGCATTATATTCGTTTGAAGTGTCGCTCGCATTAAATGACAACCTGAAAACAAAGTGAGGAAAATGACTTGAACGAAGGTCAACAGGCACGACTGCTTTGTACTTAAAGTAAAAAAATCGATAATCCCGTGTCTGTGCGTGGTAATCGATCGATACCATGGCTGCGTCTTGCCTGGGTTCGCCACGCTGCACGTTGCCGTACCCGATTGAAGGGCTCATCTCGACATGCATTTACGTCAAAAAGCGGTTGAGTCAACCGAGTTAATTAACACCCTCCAAAGTTTGATGGAGATCATACATGAACCTACTTGACACTATCCTAATTGATTTCAACCTTCAATGTTGGCACGAAAGCCTTGAGGCTGGCATCATAGTGATGTCAATGACGTGACGAGGTTTCGCTCTCACACAGCGCAAACTCTGAAATTAACTCCAGGGCGGAAATCAGTTATAGCTTGATGCTTACCCGGAGGAGAGTGCTGTGACTTGGGCGTTTGTGCGCCGCTTTTTCTATCAGCCAAGTTTGCCAGCGTCAAACTTTCACGGGATCCTGACGGGGGTGGATTGCCCTTTCCCGCCCAGCTGTTGTACATGTCCTCTGAAATTTGCGAAATGCAAAATTTTAAGTGTAACTCAGTCAAAAATGATGTCCACCACATAAATCCACAATTCTCCTGCACTGTACGTCCAACCAATTCCCAAACTTGGGGTGCTACACTAAACCACTTATTGATTGATCTTGTGTTAGGAACAGAAATGTGTGACTGGGCTGCAGATGGGACAAGTTTTATTGCAACAAATGTCACGCACCTGCGCTAACAAGGTTGGATTTTTGTCCTACAAAAAAGTTAACCTGTGTGAAAACCAATATGACGTCACTAGCACTATATCGATTTTTTCAATAACATGCAATTTGGAATAGCGACGTGTAAATAAAAATGCTCACCCAAATGCTGCGATGAGGGTCTGCTTTCTGCAAAAAATTTATTTGTGGTTAAAAAAGCGGCTTTTATCAAATTATTCTCTAGAAAAATACGAATTCGAACGTACGTCTTCTCGTCACATCTAAAAAATTAAAAAAAATTGGGTTTGCATAAAAGTTTTGTAGGGAAAGTGCTGTTGTCTTTTGATATTTTGCCGATATCGAAAAGCACAACTGCGCACAAAAGGTTTCGAATCTTCTTACCTTCAACACGAGTCGACGCCCGAAGTGTTGGCTCAGCTTAAAATAACAACAGGAGTATTAACTGGGCGTGTTGTGGATGTGACATATATTCAAATTAAAAGACAAAATTGATTCGTGGAAGCCCAGAAACTTGTCCCCGAATCTAGAAACTCATTTATTTTGACAATGTGTTTAAAGAAGAACATGCCAGCAACAGTAAGATGTTCACTTCCTTTATTTCTAGCACTCAGCAAGTGTATGGCCTTCAAACGAGGTTGCCACAGCAACCTTCTTAAATGATTGTGACTGTTAATTGGGAAAATAATAGCAATTACAAGTTTTGTAAACTAGTAATGATAACGCTTTCAAAAGATTGTCTTAAATCAAAGTTTTGCAGATTTTAAATTTAGAATTAGTCAGTTTCATTCTGATAGATCTGCCTAAAGAGGATGATAAAGATGGTGGCGGTCAATTTAAACAAATGATATTTATAACGTAACTCTCAGGCGCAATAACATTTCATTTCTAAGTCAGTCATTACCCATATTGTGAGCATGATGCATTAGAGAAAACCGCTCTGAAAGCTGCTGAATGGCGTAAATAAGTGGTAATACTGTCCAGTTGGTGGTGATACAAGGTTTTTATGTATAATAACCAGCATCCAAGCAACCTAGGGCCATAATTTGGTTACCGCAAAGGAACCGTTTCCACGCTAAAATCATGCAACACCCAATTCAGCCTTGGTGACTAGTAAACACAGTTATCCTGCCCCTCGAACGATAAAGTTGTCAAAAAATGTTGATAATGATGATTAAGAGTAGCACAAGATTCGGTTGATTGTCAAAAAAGACCAGAAATTATATGTGGTTGTCACTACACTGGCATGCAATTAAATTACTCGCCAAATCACTAGATGTCTATCATTTTCTGTATCATACAAAATTTCTGTAAACCTGACAGTCTTATAAAGGGGTGTGTGTGTTTCAACTCATTCCTTCTTTAAATATCACGTAGTTTGCGAATAAAACGCATTTTTTGTCTCAATGACATCCGGTGTTGAGCCAACAGCGTGATTATCACGTTAATCGCTCCCTTCTGCCTGGCAACTGCGACTTTTGTTTTCACTTCAAACAGCGATCAGTCATTGGTCGATTTGAAATCGTCGAAATAACGCGCTTTCATCATTGGTTCCCACTAAGTGTCCTCAAGACTCGATAAAATTACAACGAAGCGAATGTAGACGCCAGAGTCGAGGTTTTAGCATCCACCCTCTAGCGACTTGTTTTAATCAGTAGAATTAAAGACCGCGAGAATGTTTTAAAGGGGTTTTTTACCGCTCTTTATCACTGATTCAGAACTTTGCACTTTTCCATAACTTGCGTCAAGCCAGATGAGGAGGAGCTTACTAAGACTGGTGCTCAAGTTGCGTTTTTAATGACCAACCTACCACGGTAATTTTATGTGCCGATAAGCCTGACACCACACTGTGATAAAAGTGAATCCGTTTGTAACGATATCCTAACTAGCACCAGTGGGGCGCTAGATACCTGCCTCGTCAGAGAAAAAACAAGAAAAACGCCGAGCTCAAAATGTCGAAATTCCACAATAAAATCCGGCCTGCCTACACTGCAGGAAGTCAAATCAAGGTATAATGCATAATATTTTGAAAACGCTCACCGTGATTGCCTGCAGGTGTGGTTACACCGGCATTGGATGCAGCTAAAAGAATGACCTAGGGTTAAACCAGCTCGCGCTCGATGTAATATCGATTTTTTTGTGTAACCAAAGCAGTCGATAAAACGCCCGCCGAATTTAAAATTCTCAAATACCGGTCGGAGCATTGAGGCGCGTATCGTGAGGCGCATATCTTAAGAAACTGATTACACTTAGATTAAGATATTTTATTTTCATGCACTCTATCTAAGTTTATCTGAAAAATCAAGTAATGATGTTACCAATTAATATCACAGCAATTTGTGCTATTCACGTATACTACACCTCTGATTTTCTAAAATAATTTATAACTTCAGAGGCCACAACAAGGGCACGGGCATTGAAGGTCAACCATTCTAGTCAGCTTTGATTTGGTTAGAGGGAACGAATTATTGACAGAGGAACTAGCAAGTACCTTGATGACTCGGAGGGGGCGATTCTCTGCCGTTGGATGCAACTGAAATAAAACATTCAGATTAAGTGTAAAAATATATCCTGTCACCATCTGTCAAATTCCCTTGCATTAATGCTCTAATGCCTAAGTTGTTCCATTTGAAACTTTAATACAGAAGGGAAATTGTGACTTAATTCTTACCTGAATGGCCGTCGGCTGGATCTCTGGTGACCACATTTTCTTAAAATTAGAAAAAAAGTAAGCAGATTGTATTAGCTTTCATGCGGTTGCAACATAAAGTATATTGACACTCCATTAAATGGTGTCATGCACATTAAATTATGTGTAAAGTGGAGCCTGGAATGGCCTGGCTTAGCTCCCTTAATCGTTTCTCGCGCTTAAATGGTTTTAATAGTTCGGCAACTATTTTAAAATGCCGACCACCCAGTGAATACTTCCGGTTTTTTCATACGCCGTCTTTGTTTTAATCGCATAACTAGCCAATGTTTACGGCGTTCAAAGCTTATACGAAGTTGAGCTGAATTTTTTAAATCAAAATTAAAGAACGTAATAAACTTCCAATACTCATATTCACGATCATAAAATAACTCTTTTTATTAGCCTTAGTAAAAAAAATCAACCTACCAGTGTTGTCGGAGACGCTTTGCGGTGGTTGAACTTTAATGGCTGTAATTGAAAAAAAAAGCATTGCACTCAATCGTGACTTGACCGACAAATTATGCAAACAACTGTTTTAATCATCATGGATAATAAATCAGCCAGCTTGAATTTGGAGCAATGGTCGATGTACCACACAAAAATTGGCTGCCGGGAGATTATGATCCCCTACTGGCATGAGAAATTGCACAATTTTGTGGTATCCGTTTGCCAGGTAGTTGTTTTCAGGTCAATTTTAGGCGACGACCCAAGATGCCTCCACGATCACCCCAGGGGCCCACTCAAATCAGCATCATTTGGTCGTCATCCTGCTCGTCTTTTCCACACAAAAGTTGTCCCAGCGTGTGAAAGGATGTGTATGTATGAAAACAAGGTAAGACTGAGTCACCTTGTGGAAGTTGGTTCTAGAGTTTTAGGAAAAAAGAAGCATTCCTCAACACCCAGGTTTTTGATAATATCGATGAAAACATACTCCGACCTTGTTTTCAAGCCTGCTTGTCAGAAGTGCATTCACCGAATTCGACTGTGAAAACACATCTCATATTATTGTGACGAACAGGTTAAACTGACATGCCCTCAAACATGGTATTTGTGGTCTTCCCGCAGAACCAAGGTATGGAAATTTACCCACAAACTGGATGTCAAAATTGGTTAACATTTTTAACCCCCACCTCCACTACAACTTGCAATGATGTACACAAAATCAGGACACTAGTAATTTTTGTGACGCGGTTTTCCTTTTTTACCCACTCATCTGTGAGGGATTTGTATTTTAAGTGGCCTAATTGTAGAATTAGATCTTGACCTTTTGCCACAACCTCGAATTTCTACTCGCATCCACATTTGTGTGGATTGATTGTTAACTTTCGAGAACTGACTCATGCGTGTGTGTATCTAGCTATGAGAGCTGACCTCTTAATTAAAATTGACGACCTTGACAATTTGACCTGGTCTTGAATTACCTACCAAGACAACGTGTCAACGAAACGGTTTATCAGAAGCACGATCTGTTTCACATAACCAAGATTGACAAATTTGTGTCAAGGCAATATCGATTTGATAATCAAGCAAAATAGGCAATTCATGGAGTTGGTTCCTGATATCAGCATCATTTAGGAAGTTTGTTTGCTGAAATAGACACCAACTTCATTTGATTAGGTGATGATCTAAACGTCTGACATCTGGGCAGTCTTGTGGTTAATTCGGAAGTCCCACATTCGAATCCTTGACTGTATCGTGAATGGCTGTACATTGTATCAAGCTGCGTTGTCGGGGTTAAAAATGTCGTTGCTCTAGAAGCCTTTAGGGCAATGAAATTTTACACAGAAGTTTTTATCATTTGTGGTTCTGAGACGTGTTAAAACCTATTCAAATGCCAGGTCTCAACCACGGTATTTTCCTCATCCGGTGACAAGTCATTGCTTCAAAGTTACATTGCAGATAGTTACACCATTTTGTAGACTCACAAATGAATGTTAACGTCACTTGCAAATAATCTGGTGTTAGGATTTTGAAAACTCAAAAAGCGTTTTCGATTTATTTCAGTAATGAGCCTTTTTTACCTACATGACACGTCGACGATCAAGGCGGGACAAGGAATACCTAGATATCGATCAATACGACTACTATTCATTTTAGCGCCTGTGATGGCTAGATTTGATTGGTCTAAAATCTAACAATAAAAATCACTCACTAATTTCGTGATTGTGGATAGAACATAGCAGTCAGTCGAAATATTATGATTTATCCACAAAAATTTCGCTTTTCTAAGATTGCTTAAGATGCCAGCGTCGCTGCTGCAACAACAATCTAACAGTACTAAAAATTTGCATTTTGGCACAACTTTCCACATTGGTAAACAGTCATGACTGTTAGATTGGAGAAACTGGTTTGTCCTCATTTCTGGTGCGTGTTTAGGCATAGATGTCCAGGTAACGATTTTTCTGATGCTGATATAGCTGTTTATCCAACATCAGGACCAATTTACCAATGCATGTCAGTTCAAAAATACCAGTTTAATGAAAGACTAGCTGTCAAAAGTGGAAGACATGATCGAAATTGGGAGTGACGACAAGGAACATTCTCGAACAGTCTTGACCACAACTCACAAATAAAAACACTCCCTATGGACGGCCACATTGTAAATTGGTCACACCAACTCTTTCCCTGGCATTGACCAAGTATTGCCGTTTAAAAATCAGTGGGAAGCCGCGGTAACTTAATATTGATCCCTATATACAAGCTACCGGGACCAATCGATATTACGACTTCTATAAGTACATACTTAACAACTCCACGTTAAGTGAGAGTAGCTGACATGATGGGAACTTCAGAAAAATGCATTCCCTACCCCAGTATGAGAATTATGGACTCACTAGGCAATTCTGGTGGCTCAGGACTCGAGCTTTTGGGTGATGCGTAACAGCAGGACAGAAATCCAGCCCAGCTGTTTGTGTTGGCAGACGGCTGGTTTGACTTTTGCAGTAGACGAGCCATCCGTGAGGGAAATGGAGCGTTTAACTTATGATTCTCTGATTTGAAACCACCGTAAACACGCATCGCCTTGTTCACCATACACACACACACGCTGACATGCCAACCAATGAAAGGCAAGATTGCCGCTCATGTGAATGTGTTGCTTCGCGCTGCGATCATGACTAACCAAGTCCCTTCCTCATCACACACAAATCAAGAGACCAGGCCTCACAGTACGCAGGCATAAACAGCCTACGGTGCAAGCCACGGTGAATTCCCTTGTAACGTTGGTGTGCTACTGTCACTGACAATCCCAAGGCACCTACAAATGCGTTCACGAATGAAAGAACTTTCGAATTTATGCGTCAAAGCTTTCATAGTTCGTCTGGCTGAATAGCACGGGAATTTCGAAAAATCGATTTTGCAAAGACGCAGGCTGCAATCGGAGACGGCATCCTTGCGCCACATTGACTTTGGTTAAATGATTAACTCCACGTTCTCTGAGTTGAACCGCGACTTCGGTTCTAGTAGGATTCTCAGAAATCGCTATTTCCAGCAATTTGTCTAGTTTGAATGACCAACAGCTTTTCACTAATGTCGTACATTATCACTCTATATGTTGTCTTTTGGTTTTCGACGGACATCTTCCCAATTTTTTATCTTATTGATTCTGCTGGTGTAAGCGATTCTCGCCGTGATTGGAATGAGTAGTGCTTATTATCAATGTCTATGAGTTTTGTTTCAAGTTAACTTATGAATTCTACTCCCATTCCTATCATTGCGGCCAAGGTAAATGCAAGAATTACATTAGAAATGAGGCCGAAACTTTTACCGTCATTTCATTTTGTTCATTTTACTTTAGAGTTTAGCAGTAGGCTTAAGATTCAATGTGTTTTGTTTCCAAAAAAATACTCATTTTGTGTAGTCTTCAATACAGGATTAAGCGTGTCGTTCTCTGCGACAGGATCCATGACTAATTCTAGCTTCAAGATTTCATCGACAGACGATGGAAGGTAAGCGAAATTGAGTTTGGTGTTGGACACTTCAACAAGAGTTACCACCTCAAAGAACTACTTGTGGAATTCTGTGAAACGACTGATCCATTTCTCACAACTTCCAACGTCCGCAGAGTGACTCAAGAAGAATCACCAAGATCCCAGGCTCCAAAGAAGCCAAACCATTGACTTCACGTGCATCGCGTCGCAATAGCGCTCAAACCTTTAAAATTACCTTCTCATGCAAAATTCTTGAAATTTTTTTTTAAATAAATCCTGTTAAGCTCAAAATCGAGCCTAAAAGTTTTTGTTTCTCGTCACAAAACACCCATTGCCTGATACACATCGCAAAAAGGCCGAATTTTTAGGGTCCTCTTGAATCGTATATGTTTTCGATTAAGCAAAAATGTTTCTTGTTCAGTTTGTTGAGATATTTAGGTAACTCATCCAATATTATCTTTGATCACAAGTCATCGTGACTAAGGGCGATTTCACTACCTCCCTCTCCTCGTCGGTTGACAAATGGCATTTTCTATGGTACAACTTGCATCCTAGCCAATGATAATCGTTATAGCCATACTAACCTTCCCTTTTGTGATTCCAGGCTCCTGTGTGGGTAATGTCATTCACTTTCCGACGGCGGTCACGTGATTATTAATTCAATGAGCCGGCATCTGAGTTTTTTCTGCTAAGAACGTATATCTAGCATTTTTAATGTTCTAAATAGCTAAAATCTGTTTTAAAACCATCTTTTGGTTTAGTCTTTTTTAATTTGTTACTTGCTAGAACTGAGTACAAACTTTCCAGATATTGCGAAAGGAAAATGTTGTGTATGGCCGATTTTTGCCAATTGGCGTCTGTCAACTCCACAAAATCATGATCCCATTTATCGATTACCTTAAACCTCATGTTTTCCAAGGGTTATTTGATAATTTTCATACGGTGGTCACGTGGTTGTCTATTTTTCCCTCTAAGACGGAAATTATTGACCATTTAACCGCATTGGCTATCGGTGACAAAACTGCCCACAAACTCTCTTCTCATTGGCTGAGTGTTGATTACTAGCGAATTCGATTGGCTGACCGACTTACTTAAGTAGATTTGTTTGAGCCCAGTGCGTGAATAGGTGGTTGCGTCTACCTTGTCGCATGCCATTTGCACGATCAAAGAACAACTAGGATACTTTTGTATCAGAGTACAGTAAGTGTCAACCTGCTGCAACGATTTTAACAGGTCAAAAGCGAAAGAAATAAATTCACAATTTTCTTACAATGAATTAGATGAAGTGGTCGCGTTTGAAGTTCCACACACTGCAAACCGAGATATCGATTAATAGGACACTTTAGAAGGTAATCGTGACAGCATAAATTCAAAGTGGCCCAAATAGGGCATTTAAAATTACGTGGCATAGTTGTGGGGGTGTTGATTACTGTTTCACTCAGTTAATTGCCAAAATTATTACAGTGAAAATTCGTAAGGAGGCGTGAATTAGATCACAATGAGTAGGCATGTTATATTCATGTTTCATATTTTAGAGATAAATTCAAGAGGCGTGCGCATAAGCTTAGTGGACCACGTGATTTGTTCGCGAGTGCATTGTCGGCAAACAACAAGCATGACCTCCGCACTCGCAAAAATCAATAAGTCAGTCTTGTGTGAGCACAGTTCACGCACAATCAGGGGACATCAAATGCAGCGCTGTTAGAGGTAAGGTGTCTGAAACGCCTCTTTAAAACCGGGCTTGGATTGTTCTCTCGAAACGTGTTCAAGTCAATTTTTTTACAAATGCCATCTAACAACCTGGTTCTCAATGTACTCAAATATGCACTGGGAACTTAAAAGACGTTGACACGTTCAAGGCATCTAATGAAATTCGATGGGTTAATTTACAAGTGAGTTAGTTCAAATAATTACAAATCCCCGATAATCGAACTCGTGTCAATTGTTGAAATTCAGTGAGCGGTTTAGAACTGTTCACGATCTTTGGTATGATGAGGTTTGTTAATTCACTTCTCCCTGTTCGCCATATTTGCTCCCCAGATTCTCAGTTGTTAATCGTCGCGCTGTGTGCCTGTGTTTATAGCGGGATACTCCATCCCGCGATATTCCTGTCCCGCTCCTGACCACAGCCCCTCCCTCCCAGTCACGTCTGTTGGTCAGATGCGGGATATAGTTCATGCCCCCCTAGAGCCATTTCAGCCACACCTCACAGACGTGCATCAGGTAGTGTGGAGTATACCAGGTTCCCCATATTCCCATTCCTGCGTCTCCACTGCGTTATCAAACACCTCTGTGGAATAGGCTGTAGGTGTTAACGTCCAGTCAGTGAGCAGTCCGATTCTTCCGCCTAGATAACAGCTAGGCCACCGGTGACTTAGGTGTCGTTGCCTCCGTGTAGACGTGGGACTCACATCAATTCTCTAGAAATAACCTCCAACCACCATTGACCTCAAGCCGACCCCTAGCGGATTCTGGTGTGATTTGATGAAAGGGATGCAGCTTGTGTCACCAACACTCACACTACTCAATGGCAATCTTAAAATCTTGATTTAACTGCACTCGACAAACTGACCTGCGCCTGCGGATTTGGCACTGGAATGTGCAAGGTACGTTTGTTCGCCCGCAGACTGAGCTGATACGCGATGGTTCACTAAAATACCGGCTGGACCAGCTGTATATAAAGGGCCACCCTCATTTTACACTGATATAGCTGGTGTTAGCAATGCTACCTTCTGGTGAGTTGCCTTCGATTGCACTTAATTATTTTGTAAAAAAACGAATCACGACTTGAGTACTATGTAACCTTCTGGCAAAAGTGAATCGTTTCAAACCCACGCATTATCCTCTGGTGCTCTACAAGAATCAGCGTGATGATTGTAGTGTTACACTTGATTCATTTAATAAACCAATGTGATCTCGTTTATTGGCTAATTCTACTTGTCGTTTAAACAGATTCCCTCGAACACAAAAAGTGTTGCAATGCTACGGTAAGTTCCACGTTCTGATTCGTCCATATCAACCACTGTTACGGTGCACAGACCAATAAATTCCCGCGACGCCTTTTAGCCCATGCGATGCACTTTCAAGGCCCCTCTGATCCTTAACATTCACGTCAAATTCGACGAACGCAAACAAGTGCTGGATGTGTTCATAAGGAACTTGCAGAACGCTCCGGAAAGACAAAAAGTTAGGGTGAGTTGATGTGCTGTGATTAACTCATGTGACGGGCAGTTAAACGTAGCTACAAGAAAACGCTTTTCATCTAATGAACCGCTGCTTGGATTTGCAGGTTGTCACGAAGCTAACAATCCACCAGGATCAATTGCAGCCTAACTGGAAATGCACGTTGAAGCTCAGAAACAAGAGTTGCTGTAGCAAGACGAAGTCCACGTGTCACAGTACCACGCTGAAACGTGGCGCCAACCCACATTTCAACGAGAACTTCTGCTTCAAGAATGTCATTGCGTGTAAGTTTCGTGCGGACTCTGATCTTCTCCGTAGCATTCGGCAAACCGTGTTACTACACTCATAATAAGTAATAAGATTAGCTAACGGAAAACCCACAAGCAGATGAGTATGGAAAAATGCGATGTGCTTTATAATTGTTTACCTAGCCGACGTCAGGTACGGAATGCTATCGTTCGATATACTGGGAAAGAAGAAGAAAGGCAATGAGCCTTTCCTTGGAACAGTCTACCTTCCCGGATCAGAAATCCAACTGGACTACGACACCGCCTACAGTCTGTACGCTCGAAGCACAATAGCGGTAAGGCGTCTAAAAATGCATGGAAAACACACGTGCTACTTAATTATGTCAAGTAGTGTAAGGAATCAGAAATTACTTGTTTCTACAATTGCAAAGTGTTGTTGAAGATCAGAAATTTCAGGTTTTGAATAACTGGCAACAAATCAGACTATGTAGGGATCTCATTTGTTTCAATCAATTCAATTGTATTTGGAAATCACCTAATAAATAACCATGGCAACTGGTGGCACCATATACATACTGTTGGACCAATCAGCATTCTCTTGGATTTTTATTGGATAGCGACCTAAAATGCTAAAATGAGCGTTGCTATTCGATTAGGCTTCCTATTTGCCAGAAAGCTTATTGAGTGTTTTTTACAAATTAATTAAATTCTTGTGGGTTGTTTTATTTTAACAAGACCTTCACAGTGTGTAAATGCGCAAACTTTTTTTAAAAAAATAATTAGCGTTTCCTAGTTAAACTATCAGCGATTGATTTTAGCCTCAAAGAGACGACTTCTGATTACGAGCTGATATTTGTGCTTTTGTACTTCAGGTTGCGCAGCAAAATAGAGTCTCTATCAACAAATGTAAGTACTTTAGTATTTAAAACATTTTTTGTATAAGTTTGGTGTCTGTTGATGCAAAACCACGCAGGGCAACACCCAAATACCTATTTTACTGCTTCACGAAACTGTAACGGAAAATCCAATAATGGCCAATCCTTTATCATGGCCCATTTTACCAGACTACAGGTTATTCGTGCAGCTTCAAAAATAAATTTACCGCTTTAAATTTATCAAAACTGACGCAAACTAAGTTTTTTTTCTTAGCAACGCCTTTAATTGGTAGTTTTGAAACCAGCTATATGTGGATATTTTGAAAGTTTTGTCAGTTGTCTGTCTCTTTGCAGGTCCGTCACCATCATCACCAGCAACATCATCAGCATCAAGCACTTTACGACGTAAGATGTTGCTTGTAATTCACAAAAGCCTTCATGAAGTAACACTTAAGCAACCTAACAGATGAAATTATGGACCTCATTAAGAATCCACCAAACGAATTATTATAACTTACGACATGCATTCTCTTGATTTGTAGTATATGTACCAACCTCTTAGGGCCTAGGAGTTAGTTAATTTATTTGTAAGAACAAAGGAGAATGTTGAGGTGTTCTTAAACTTAAACGTAAGGATTTAATTCGCCTATTGGGGTACTGGTTGAGCCAGAAAATCAGATCGGTTAGGAACACGGGCAACGATGACGCAGTCGTGGAGTCGAGTGATTGGTTGCGTTCAAGGTCACCGTTCTTTATTCCTTGTAAAACCTTAGGAGCATCATCGACGGGCTCTACATCGTCTTCTTCCACGTCATCTTCGTCATCTTCGACGTCGTCAACGTCGTCGTCTTCGTCATCGCGTTCAAAAGGTAGGTTACGTAAATGGGGATTTATGAATGCCGTTCTCCTGGCAAATTTATTTCCTGCCAGCCAATGGCTTAATTAGAAATTAGTAATATCTCCACGGATTGTTTAAATTTTGCGCATTTCTAAGACGTCAGTTGGGGCAAAAACCTCTTGCGAGCAAGGAAATTGGAGCACAAAATTAACAACTTGAAAATCAGGTGCTGTAGAACCGTTTTGGGAATATCTTTTTGCAACTCAATTCCAAAAAAACTTCTGGTTACAAAAACAACTAACACCACACCTTCCTCAATTTGTTTTAATCAATAATTTTACCCAAAATTCGTACTATCTTACAGTGTTCAATATTTATAGCCGCGTGGACACACTTTGCAAGTACTACTTACAGAAACTTACAAGTAGTCTGGTGTGCGTATGCCGGCTTTTCCAGATCACGCGAAATGCGGAAACGGAAATGTTCACCACGCAGTCAGTTGAACGATGTGGCTTTTGGCGAATGTGGATTTGACACACAGTTAACGTGTCGTGCGTCAATGCTCTTGATTGGTCGCAATATTTCACAATCGATTTTAGGTCTAAAATATAAATATCGGAAAAAAAAATTGTGCTGATAAAAAAGCTTTGTTTGTAAATGTCGATCCATTAATAATTTGTACATTTTATTGCTTTTTTCCGTGTTCTAGATGCAAAAGAAGTGGTTCAATCAAAAGAACCAAGCGTTAATGGTGAGAAAATTCTTTTAAGTGGCCCATTACTTTCTTTGATTACGTTGAATTGTCTCAATTAGTATACATTTTGAGATCTCGCCATCTTGCACAAACAAAAATCCCATTAATTATGGGAAAATCTATCATATTTACATCCATCGTTTCTTTTAGCTGAGTGATTTACTCACAAACGTGGTAAAATGCTGAGATTTAACATAAAACCACTCAACCCGTATTTGCATTATTTGCACCAATCACAGTCTTCTTCACCGGGGCTGTGTCCTTGAAGCGCCAACCAATCCAAAGTGTCTGTAATTCTGGTTAAACTCACGAAATCATGCCAAGCACAAGTCATCAATGAAAATGATCAGGAATCATGCCTCATCTCAACTAATATCTTCTTATCATTTAGACGAGTTGATCGTTCTGGAATCTTCGGGGCCCGCAAAAACAGGTGAGGAAATCTTGTAAACAAAATGGGGTCGTAATAAAAAAGTGTCAAGTCAATATACGCAAATGAATCTTTAATCTGATAAAAGTGCGTTTGAAGTAATATTGTTTGCATTTCAGAAAAACAGGCGTTAGTTGAAAGCAGAAGAAATACGAGGAAGAAAGGTAGCTTCTACATTTTTTTCAATTCCGCTTACCAAATATCACTTTTCAGTATTTTTTTTGCTATAAACATTAAAATTAGTAAATCGCTAGAAGTTGATTTAAACAAACGTTGCTGTAAATGATTTTGCATAAACGAATGGCATAAAATAGAGGTTTATTTCATTTCCTTTTTCAGCTTCAACCACACCATCGACATTATCGATTGCTAGCACGCCATCGGTGCATAATGGTAGGTTCAATTCGTTCTTTTAAACAAATTTTGCTGGTCTGTCTAGTCACATGTACACACCTCCTAGCTACTACTAACAGCAAGGCATAAGTAGTCTAACGCGCAGGTTTCGCTGATAAATGATTGAGGAAATCGACAACGTGTCTAACTTTCTTATCTAAGACTGCAAAATTTTGTTTTAAACGAAAAACAGACATTAAACAGGGTGGTAATTGAAATTGAGCAGCTGCGAACGACCCAGAGGAAATCACAATGCAAAAAATCGATTATTTGGTATGAATGTGGTTTCATTTTCCATGCATGAAATGACGTTTTGGCTTTTTTTTCACAAAATTTAAATCATTCATGTTGATAAAAGTCGACAGATTTGCAATAAATGACAGCAAGTTGGAACAAGATCCGAGTTATACTAGGGGTACACCATTAATTATCATCCCTTAAACGCTTGCTGTCTTTTTTTTCGATTCCGGTGATGTTTCTAGTTTGATTAGTTGTTGACAATCAGCACCACAAGTGAACTTGCAAATCACTCAAAAGTATGCATCCTATTTGTTAGGAAAATCGTATTTTTAGTGCAATTTAGTAGTTACCAACATGATTTCTTTTGGTTCATTGCGTTTGAGTCACGATCGCTTCTGATTGGCACAATCGTATACTATCTACCAATCAGAATGGTTTAATTAAATTTTATGTGCATACTAAAATAGTGTTATTGAATTTCTTTGAATTAAATCGGGACCTGAACGCCATAAGTTCGAAGAAATTCTAATACGTTTTAAGGGATTCAGAGAAACAACCAAGATGCCGAAAATCATGCGTTTGAATTTAAAAAAAATACTTTTTGGACTTCTTTTCAACAAACTTGTGTAACAACATGCTTCGAAAGCAGGCTAGAACTGAATTCGATTAAAGTGTTGTAAATAAAAAATTACTCTATTGACAGAAATTACTCAACTCAGGTACTACAAAAATATTATTTCTTCCGTTTCAAAGGGTACTTTATTGACCAGTGTTAATTATTGATTCTAATTGGTAATGTGTGAACGAATCAATAAACACAAAAGAGATCCAATCATAATCCAGTTTCAGCATGAGCTAAACTGATTCACCAATCAGCTCACTGCCTCTCCTTTTTAGAACATTCAGCTACCCTTCCTGATCTATCTCAAGCTGAGACCGCGGATTCTGTGGCAAGCACATTCTGTAAGTATGCGATTTGCTAAATTAAGTTAAGTATACTATGTAAGTATAAGTATCAAATTCCGAGTCAACCAGCCAATCAGATAACAGTTTAATTGACATGTGTGGTCTAGTAGGTAACTCAGTCTATTCTCTGACTATTTTTCAACAAGTATGCTAAACCAGACTGTTTGTTTGATGTTCGAAATTACTTTGACGACGGATGACAAATTAGTGCGTCTGAAACCCAGTTTATCAAATTGCAATAATTTAAAATGGAAGGCTGGATTAAATGCTTTTGATTGAGTGAATTTGCATTATAGATGAACTGAAACCGGTTGAGCCCAAAAAAATAGAGAGGATGACAGGTAATTCACACGCTTTACAAGATTTACTTTGCAACCTATTTCTTACACTCCTTCAGTTTTGACAAATTTGCGCATTAAAGCAGTCATGTAGAAACGAATCAGTGTTAGGATAAGCCAAATATCGTCGAAATACACTGTTTTCTAACATTTTTTAGCCTTGTCGTCTGCGGATCCAGGACAGTGCGTTGAACCCAGGAAAGTAGCCACTAAACATGGTAGTTGTTAGTGGTTTTTACTTGAAACTTAAAAAAACCCCGTTTATAACCATAATTCACTGCTTTCTTTTAGCTTCGTCAGCAGGGGGTCAAGGACAGCGTAAGTTAAGCCATGACTGGAATGCCTTGTGTTACGGTTACATCACATGTAATCTGTCAATTTCGCTTGAATAAAGCCCTGTTCACTTTATCTACAAGCTGACACCCTCTTTGCAGTGTTCCGTGTTTAATTAACCAGGCAAAGCAGTTATCCACGAAAACGCATAGTCAGCAGATGAGGGCGATATTCCAAGTGGCGTTTCGAATCAGCGTCACCGAAAATTCTGCTGGTTCTACCACCATTTTCGTATGTCCTCAAACCTCGTTTACTGCTAGTAGATGATATCCGGGTAAATCCGTTGACCTGTGTGTTGATCTGCCAAGTTTTTGGGTGGCGATTGCGCACAGCAAGTTGATACAGAAAGGAGTTTGTCTCAACCGCTACGTATTGCTCCATTCCTTGAGATCTACAATATTTTGCATCATGGCACTGCATTCAGCACTCAGGTACCTGGCGAAGATTGTGTGCCAACTAGCGCCGCGAGAAAATTTGGTAATTAAATTTGCAAAAGACTGTTTGGACACTCGCGAAATCGCAAATTGAGCCTGCAAAATGTTTGCCAGTCATACGGGGGTGCATCCTGTTCTATTTCCTTCGGGTTGTGCATTTCTGGACACACGAAATGTGACGTCGTCTCTGAATTTGATTGACGATGGATAGATGCATGCGATATTTTCACGACGACCACGAAACGTTATAAAGATGTATTATACGACAAACTGCAACACGTAAAAGTTAATAAGAGAAGGTGTGTCGGTTAAAATTGATGATGAGCCCTTAACAACAGTGACTCGGCTGGGTGTCCAGTGTCATTTCCTGCCGCAGCAATTCTTGTAGCCCCTCAATTTGTTCATTCAGTCAGTGGATGAGAAGTGACTGAAATTACCCACATTCTTGAAGTTATTAAAAGGCCTGATCAATAACCGAATTCAGTTTGGAATTCTTAGTACGTCACGTGATTCAATTGCATCCGTCTTTGTTAAGATCGTGAAATAGTAACGACGGTAAATGCCTTTGGCAAGCTGTAATTTACGATGGTACCTACGCCACAAGACCAAATCACAGTCTCTCTCTCTAGTGTAACTCCAGCACTAGCTGTATATGTCCTCTTTTGAGTCGAGAAGAGAGTGTTTCTTTCTGCATTCAACTTTTAGGCCAATCGACAATCTCAGAGTCTACAACAAACACTTACTGTAAGTGTGCGTTTAAAAATGAACCAGTAAAACGAGCGTTTGGTAATTCGAGAGACCACAATGGTGTCTTTGAGCCGTGTTTAAGGTAGTTTACGAGTGTTCTTAACAGGCTTGGGCGAAGGTGACTTTAATCGATTATTTGTTTTGATTATTAATTTTTGTTTTAATAATGTAAGTGCCTGTCGATCACGATTTAAACTACCGCCTTAAACGTTTGATTTCACGTGTTGCCAGTGGACCACGTAGAAAATCGATGCTGGTGGGGTTCATGCTCTACGCCGGGACCTCTTTAAATTTGCCCACTAAAAGCCACTAAATTACTGTGAATTTTATTGTCAAAGCACCAAAATACGTAGCCCATCTCGGATGCGTACACCCAAGCAACCAACTTGTATCACCACTTTTATCTCAAATTAAGTAGATTTTGCATAACTTGTTGCTCAAACTTGCAAGTAGTTTGGCAAATTTGGAGGTCAATTATGTGTTGATTTTCATGTGTGGGTTTAATTGTACAAATAAATCCAACGTCTTATCTTCCGGATCGTTCAGATAACAAAATTTGCATTTTAGACGAGCTAATACGCCTGGAGCCAGTAAAGGCAGAGTATAGAAAAGGTAAATTGCCTGCTAGATATCTGATGACGCCTGTTTAGCATCCCACTCATTCATTTCCTCCATATATTTTTTCCAATATTTTATTTGCACACAAAACTCAAAAAACATCTACTTTGGTGTAAACTTCAGTGCCTGTTACTGATATGTCGTCAACTGTTTCAACAGAGCCACCACTGAGCGCTGCATCACCACCGGTTTCACTGACAATTAAAGGTAAGGCGGCGAACAAGCATCCGTCGTTATTGTTACCATGAAAATTTCAGTACACAATTTTTAAGAGTAGATAGTATTGAATACGATGTATATCCACCATCTGTCTCCCAAGGCAACAACATGTGATTTCGTGCACCTGGAAATGCTAGAGCATATTAGATCTTCCTACTGTTCATCATTAATTCAAGTTTTGCAAATCAAAATGTGTGCGGCATCCCTACCTATATCAAGTTTCTGATGGCGTTTAGGTCCGATAATCAATTCGGTGAAGTAAAATCCCTTTGTAATTCACCTCCTCTGACCGTTTTGTAGATCATTAAAGGTAATCATCCGTTCTAGTTGTCCCAAAAAAACCACAGTCTAGTCTTTTGTTGAAAATCAGCAGATTTTTGACTTAATCTTGACTAGTTCATCACCATCATTTTGACTGGCATTATTGAACTCCATTTTGAAACTATTCTAGAACATTAAAATGAGCCGATTTGATTGTGACGAAGATTTAACATATCCCAAAACTTGACAGGTTAACCAGAAAGATTCTTGTCAATCTTAGGCGAAATATCTTCTGAATGTAATTCGGTTAAGCAATTCTGATGCATGCGGCACATTAAGTAGTTAGGTTAGGTTTGTGTTAAGTCCAGTGCAAGCATCAGCTTTATTGCCTGTGTCTTATTACTCCCAAATACACATAAATCGGGCTAAATGATTCCCTGTGGCACTCCAAATTTGGCAACAACATGCACTGTTTGTTTGGAATATTTTTCGTCGATCTTCCCTTATCTCCGATCAACTTTGCTACCAGAGTGTTTGTTCATTTTGTATACCTCAGTCATAGGATCGTGACGAATCATATTTCCAAAGCAAAACACCGTCACCTTCAACAAATAATACACAATTTCAGAAGAATGTAACAACACAGTAGTTAATAGAAGTCAATCGATTTTGCTCTCCTGTGCTTATCTTCTAACTTGTAATTAATCTGTTCGGTTTGTTTCGTTGTGTAGACGCGGAAACTGCGGTGGGTGGAATCTGTAAGTGCCTTGATTGTTAAAGGCGTAGTTGCTTATAAATATATCCACTAAGCAACTGCAAAGATGACGAGTAAATTTGAGAAGTCAGTCAAGGCTTTGTCATTTCTGAGGGCGTAGCAACACTGCTGCCTTGCGTTATAGATGAAGAAGCCGGCCTAATTGAACAAACAACAGACATGATGTGTCCATGTGGACAGTGTACAATTGTGTAGCATCCAGTAAACGATGGAACGCAGTCGTTTTTAGAGAGTGCTGATTAAAATTTGCATCTTACTGTCACGCCTCTACCTACAGTCCACTAGTAGTCAATCTGTTTCCGCCAATTGTGACCACCAATGATAGAGACACGACACAATCAGTAAGGGTGCGTTAAAAGTGGGCATTTCTAAACGCATTTTGCGTAAAATTAAAAAAAAGGTTTTTGTCTAAAGTTAGCCATTTTCAAACTGCGTTTTGCATTTCAGACGAACTGGTACGCCTCGAACCCAGAAAACGGGAAATTCAACAAGGTATCTTATAATCTGAATGATTACTCGAAGTTATTTGAAATGCCACCTACATACTGCGTTAGAAGCATGCGTGAATATGCTTGTTACAATTTATCTTCCGAATTTATCTCTGATGAAACCTATTTCCAACTTTAGATGAATTGGTACGTGCTGAGCCCAGACAAACTGGAATGATACGTGGTAAGTTCTTTGGAAAAATAAATATACTACTACTAATCAGTGCTGCTCAAAGCTAAGAGGCTAGGTTCTCAAAATCACTAGGACTTCGTCAAAAATCAATAATCTGGTTTTACGAGGGATGTAACATTTTAACTTCGCTCACGTTTAGTGCTTATTTTTAGCTATTCCATGCGAAGACAATGAACGGCGTTAGTTAACACACACACTGGATCACACTCTGTGCAATTTCACATCTTTAACTGGTTATTTTTTTCATCCTTGTTGGAGAATTGACACCATTTTGTCTGCTCAATTGTAATAATGTTATTTTGTCGCACAGGTGAAATGGTTACTAACGAATCCATGGAGTTGGCCACAACAGGTAAGGACGAATTTTGGTGCTTGTTACCGGTGAAACCGTGTTTCTAATCGACATCGGCAAGCATTCTGCTGGTGGTACCGCTATCTCCGTGTGCCCTTATATCGCTTAACCCTACTAACGGTAGATGCTATGCGGGCTAATTAGTTAAAATATTTGCGTGCGTGATAATGCCAACTTATTTAATACATTTTGTAAAAAAAACAAATGTGAAGTCTTAAAAATAGGCAGAAGGTGGGCGAATTTTCATGAATCCTGCGACCATGCTCAACTAACCAGAATTTTAGTCTGCCGTGTGGTGGGACGTTAGCTCTTGGGGTAAATTCATCGTCTTTGTCAATGAACCATCGATCGATCTAGGCCGTTCACAACCTGTTATGATTTGCCTGTACTCAAGGTCACATGCTCAGAGAACCAATTAGTAGATCTTTTGAGTACTGCAGTAGACTTCCTCTCAGTCTATGGCAAAGACGTATGTCCTGGATGACCTTGGTACGACGAATCAGGAGAATATTACCCCATACGGAAGTTGACTGTGTGATTATACTAGTAATTAGAGCACTGAAGTGATATAACCAATAAAACTGTGTGTAGAATGATGAAAAGATGGGAAAACTATCCACGCTGATGGTCTGTTTGTAGAAGACAGTAGCAAAAATAGATCGAATTCTGTACTGACCACTTGGTCGCACTGCCTTCCTTCACTTTGCGTCTTTAAACAGGCAACTGATTCGTCTCATTTGGCTCTCTTTCTAGCCTCGGAATCCACAACAAGTACAATCTGTAAGTGCATTGATTGGCAGGCACATTTGGTGCAGCGCTTAGAGACAAAAACCAAAAAACCAATCATTAACCTGTTAATGCCTTCTGTCCGATTTAAAAGCGTGTGTGGTCATGCTAGGCTAACACTGAAGTCTCTCCACGTCGATACGTCTGCCACATATCTATCACCTGGAATACAAGAGTTAAGATAAAACATGCGGACATATATTACTTCTGACGTAGGTATAAGCACTTCAGCAATTATTATAATGTAGAGTAGAGTGGATGTGTTATTTGGTGTATTGTTTGGCCAATTATTGTTTCACTAAGGAAGAGGGTTAAGGCGAATCTGTGTGAGTTCCACTTGCACGAATTTAAACAAAAATATCACAAGGTCACACGGGTGTCATTCTGATGAAGCACTTTCCCGCTTTAGATGAACTGATACGTGTCGAACCCAGAAAAGCTGGACTCGTAAGATGTACGTGGCTATTCGCATAATTCTTTGCAAAAAAACAAATAAATTACTTTTGGTTACTAGCCGTTACTGTGGAAAGTTAAGAGTCACTTAAGGACTAGGAAGACAGGTTAGCAAAAACACCCCAATCTAGTGGAGCGTCATCGGAAAAAATCAATAATCTAATGTCGTGTGGGCTGCTGAATTTCACCTTCATTCATTTTTAACGCATTTTCGTAGCCATTTCATACGAGGATGGAAGACGGCGTAAGTTGACACACACACCTGTTCACATCTAATGAAAAACAACTCTCTTATTGACCGATCATCTTTGTTAGTGAGTATTGTATTGAATTGTAATAACGCTATGTTTCATTGCACAGGTGAGTTGGTCGCCCACGAATGTGCGGAGTCAGTCACACCAGGTAAGGTGCTTTTCATCCGTTAAAGCGCATTTTCGTTGATTTTTAAACCATTTACTGCGGTACTTAAGTGCTGGTCTGGTCACTTCTTTGACCAAATTGACAATAAAACTGCGTGGCGCAATTTTAGTGGCGCCTGCGACCTCAGCATCACAGAAAATCCCAGGCAGACTGGCATGTCTTCATCCATTTACAATTAAGATCGCCATTGAAGTTCAAGTGTGCAATTATTTGTCTCTTCTAATATTTGTCTAGACGCCGACGAATTGTCTTCATCCACATCATCATCATCATCGTCGTCGTCTTCTTCTTCTTCCTCTTCATCCTCGTCTTCATCATCGACACCATCGTTGCCATCACGTGACTGTAAGTGATGAATGTAACTAAGAAAGACATCATTGGACGGTGCTTACATCAGGTCAACACAAAGAACACTCAATCTTTGTGCTGGTTTCGATGCTGCTAGACTAAGAAGCAAGTGAACCACTAGCAAAGCCACAGACACTGCATCTGTTGGGTTAAAGGCAACTTGATTTGACCGGCGTTTGGTCTGATTCATTTCGATTTGCATTCCTAGATTTGCCTCCGTCTGAAGACGTTAACCTGGGCCCCTCGGATGGTAAGCAATAAAAACTTGCAGACTTACACCAGTGATGCCTATTGGTACCTTTTTCCAAACACCCTTTTGCTCTTTGTCTGTTTTCCTACTCCTGTGATAGAAGATGAATCGTCTTCATGTCAAAATGTAAGTAGACATAACATTAAAACTTTAGTAGTTGAGTCAAACGGACATTCTCATTGGTTAATGCCGTTCTAGGCCATGGTGATCTACACCACCATGCAATACAACGATCGCCGTCAAGAACTTAGTGTCTTCTTCCGAAACATTGTGAATCTTCAAAGCGCAAAGAAACACAAGGTAGGTTTGATCGTAAAACACACCCGATCGTTTGAGTGATTATTAAGGCTACCCAAGCGTCTTTTCTTCCAGGTTAAGTGCGTACTCTTGACAGCTGACGGCCGACGATTAGAAAAGCGCACTCACTCCAGATCCGGCCCGAATCCCTACTTTAACGAGGAAGTCATATTCAAACGTCTTGTGCGATGTGAGTTTCTGGGCCTACTTTGTTTTCCATGCGTACTGGAGTTGCCCGGTGATATTTGATTGGTTACTTGGCACGATAATAAATAACAGCAACTTCGAGATAAATTTCGTGAATTAATGGCACAAGAGTACTACCAGTAACAACGAAGCACCCATTCTAGACATGCCTTTGTTTACCTGAAGTTCATTTGAAAAATTCGAGCCTATAATGGGTCCGCATAAAAAACTTCAACCTGCCGAAGATCACAGGTCACATTACTTTGTGTCTTCGCTTTAATTTCCTAATTGGTTTGGAATTCCACGCTGTAGCCGGATAGACGTCCTGGATTCCGCAAAATTGTACTCCTGACGCGTGTTTTTCACATTAAATTTCAGCCGATATTTCCTGTGGCCACTTGCTACTTACCGCACTGCGAAAGGATCGTTGGAAGAAGAGCGCTGTCGGCATGGGAGTCATTCGTGGCTCGGAAATCAACCTTGAACGCGATGAAGCTCACAGCACCGTTGTCTGCCAACATCACCACTCAGAGGTACGTAAAGAAATGAATTGTCTAACGTCTAAATACAGGGCTCAAATACCCACAGAAGCTATCTTTGGTTGAAGGATAAGATATTCTAGCTTTTCATATAAACACATAGACAGTGATTGAAGGTGGGTTCTAGAAAATTAGCAAATCGTTCTCCAAAAAGGACTGTGAGAGTAATTGTGTTCTGAGGAAGGAGCGGTTTCAGCCAGACGCGCTTCATTGCCGATACGGATCGCGTGAGATCAAAGGTCATCAGTTTTAAAAGGCTCGAATGAGCGCAGAAATCACAGCGGGTCTTCCCGATTCTGAATCGCTAGGCTATCAAGCCAGGGTAACATCTGTAGGACTCCATCGATTAGATCCGGGAAGGTTAAGACCGAACACGATATTCGATTGATCAGTTTGGTATTGTGTGCACACGCGATCTCAAACACACAATCACTGACACGTACAAACTGGTGTCATTACAAAGCTAATAGGAATGCTGGGAAAGCAAGCTTAACACACACACCTTACTGGTAAAGGGTAATGATGCATTTGAAGATGAACAGATGAAGGCTGTGAGCGCGAATTGATAAGAGCATGTGAGAACACAAATTTTCTCTGAGAACGACCTCAAAAAATACCTGAGATGTTGATATATTTCGAGCGCGATACACTTTTAAATCAGGGATGTGGAAGTGAATTAAGGAAAGGGTAGTAAGCTGAATGCGCTAACCGGGAACAACCTGTTGCGGTGCCATATGCCACTAACTGCCCATCAAGGATGAAGTCTGAGGAAGGACACAGAGTCAACCGTTTATTCGAGGACTTGACGAGGTCGTCGCCATGTTGTGGGGTTTGTGCGTGTGTATTTATACCTCTGATGTGTGAGTCATAAATGCATTAACATCGAGACCTAGGTGTGAGGATAAACCAAGATAAATATTAGTGTGAATGGGGGAGGGAGTTGAGGATCCGCGCGGCTGGCGACATGCTGCGAAAGAGGAAAACCCTGTGTCGGAGGTGGGGCGACCGGATTAAGGGGTGTGAATAAACACGATTCACAACGAACCCGTAGAACGGTCGATAATCCGGATTAGAACTCGACCTAGACGCCTTGTTTAAATGCATTAAATTTTCAGATTGAAAAACAGCTGGAACTCGAATCGGAGAACGTCTCGACGGAGCCTGATAGCATTCTGCGCATAATCTACCCGCAGTCTTGTGACCAAATTGAAATTCACCAACAGAATGTGTAATCTGCACCCATTTTCTCAAGTAAAATGCTAAACAAGGTCTAATTTTTTTCTTCTTTACTGGGCTACCCTTCACATCCAAGTAGAAGAGGCAAAACATTCCGCTTACTCTCCTCGGACTTTAAAGTTCATGCCTTTGCAAAAAGGCGCCTAAAAATCCGCCAGCCAACCACGCAATTCGAAAAAGGGCACCCAACCCCACCATTGGGTAGTGCAAAATCGCTACTAATCCGCATGTCTACTGCAATCTAACATTGGCAATTACCGATTATTTGCCGTTAAGTCAAACGTGTAACCGTAGAAAGCCCCTGAGACCACGAGTGTGGAAAAATCAAACTGATGCTCACCTATCTGCGCTATAAGTTACCAGTAAAGTTTAAAATAATTAGCTTTCAAGTACGTGGGACGTTACACCTGGACGGGAAGGCGAGGACCCCCTAGCCAACACAACAGTCCTGACCTTGGTGACTCAACGCGCGCAGCAACGAACGCATCAGGTACCCGGCGAAACATGACTTCAGGGGGAAAAACCGCCTCCAATCTCACGCCTTCACCCATCAATCATCATTAACCTTAACTACTATCAGCAGTCAACAGTTGACTGACAAATAAAACTATCACTCAAACTAATTACGCCTAACCTCTGCGGTCTCAACACCACTGCAGCTTGCCAGCCACATCCGACGCCTGCCATTGGTGTTTGAAATCGCTTAGCTGATTTGGCATGGCAACAAACTCACTTAAACCCACACCGTGCCTCGCCACAGCAAAACAAGAAGAACCAGAGGCGATTCATGAAAAAATGTTTAATTCTAACGTCTCGTGTCTGTGTTCGAAAAAAATATGCACGTCAGACAAATATTTGACAAAGTTTAATTCCTTGTAACTCCGTAGACGCACACTCCGTAGACATGAATAGAGGGTGTAAGGGTGGAGAGGGTAGGTGGATTCGGCGAGTGCGAATGAGCAGTTACAACGCGGACTCGGACTTTGAGAGCGAGCGATCGATTGAGAGAACGAAATGTGAAAAGTCGGGCAGCGGAAAATCGGAACTAAGAACAAATGAATGCACTGGTGCCTTGCAAATCTAAACGAAACTCGTGACTGGTCATTTGCGGCGTCACGACGAACGTGCACGACGTGGTGCATCACCACCACCAAGCGTCCGTGGTTTTGTACTTTTAATGGAAATGCCGGCAGGATACAAGGGAGCTCATGACACTAAGAGGACAAGAGATAATGATGCTTCCTTTCTAACAAAAAAAACAACAGCATTAGATGGCCACGAGGGGCCTGGCTAAGGGCAAAATCACACGGTTTCTGTGGATGGCCGTTTCACCGACTTGCAGGAGCGGTAAAAGGTGGCGGCGGTGGCAGCAGTTGCTCAAATCTGGTCAAACCAGTTAATTTGGGAGACCGGGAAGACTGGAAGTGCACGGGACGACTGCTTGTCGCATGAGCGGATTTCGCGTGAAAGGTCGCTGACGGTGCCAGGAGAGGGTGGCACTAGGGGGAAAGGGGGATAACCGAGAACCGACGACTACGAAAATGTCTTCCAGCAGAAGCTGTAAAATAAGTGAGACACAGTAAAGGAGGTGGGTGGGGGGAGAGAGGGACAGGAAGGGGGGAATAATAAAACAAATTTCGGTCGTTTCGATTGCCTCTCTGGCCTATCGGCCACCCAGATTATCGCATCCGCTGACGTGAGAAAAGGCATCTGCGCGATCGTCGTAATTACCCTCTGGACCGGCACCGACGAAACCACCGCCAGCACCACCATCGTCCTCGTCGCCCAGACCTTCTGGAGATAATTCGTCAAGCGCCTCAATTAGCCGTAGCCCGTCGATGAAGGAGAGGTGCAATTCTGATTGCAGAGCGCGTGCAAAGTATTCCGGAGCCCAGAAACGCATTGTCGCAAGTTGGGAGAGAAGAACGCCGTCGAAGGCTCCGGTGACTTGCAGAATTTGTCCCATTCCACGGAACTTGAGCCATTGCGAGACTGTGGTGGTGGACCAGGAGCGCACCTCAGGACGAACTGCGGACTTTCGAATGCGCACCATGGCCTCGGGAGAGGGTGCACCGGACATGGTACCGTAAAAGGGGCCCCTCGGCCGAGCCATTCCCTTGGGCAGACTCCCGTCTCGGCCAAGGCTCGTCGAGCAGCTGACCGCGCCTGGGACAAAGTCACTGGTGATCTTCTTCAAGGACCCAGGGATTAGTCCATCGACGTGATTGGCTTGAGAAGCTGCCCCCGTGGAGATGGCGCCGAGCGAACCCTTCCGGTCGTTGGCCATCATCGTGTCAAGGGTCTGCTTCACCTCCGCGTAGAGATTTTGCGCCTGTAGGATGAAATTCTCGAACCCAACGTCGAGATCTCGCCGGCCACTTAGGTCGAGAACAACCTGTCCGGCTAGGATGTCACCGAGCCAACCAGTCGGTTTGTACTTAGGTTGCAAGTACACCGGGAGGATGTACCTGCTGGCCTGCTTATGCGAAGAGTCCCCACCGGAGATGTTTGAAGAAACCAAGCCAGGACGAATGGACTCGATTTCGTAACGACAGCCTGGCGAGAGCCGGTATGCCTCGGAGGCGCAGACAACGACAATACTAGCGGAGTCAATCATCTTCTTCCACGAGGCAAAGGATGGCGACACGGAGTAGAGGCCTGACATTCCAACTGCGGACGCGTCCGGCAGAGCGGTGTCGGCGTCTGGTGATTCGAGTGGACTCACAGGCAGCCCGATGCTCTGCAGGCGTTCAGCGATCTTCACAGCAGCCGTGCGGTTTACTGGCGCGAAGGAAATGAGAAAAGTGCCCTGGCCTAGCAATGTGGAGGTCGGTGGAGGGCAAGAAACGCGTGCTGACACAGCCTCAAGGGCCTTGGCGACGTGATTCGGGAGAGAAGACAGCCTGCCCTCCTTGATGAAGCCCGACAGCCAGGTGCCAATCTGCATGTTCAAGTCCGAAGAGGGACTGGTTGAACGCGGGTCGAGAGACAGGTTCCACAGCAGGCGCACAGCCTCCTCGGCCTCACGGATGGCCACCAGAGAGGGGTTGGCCTGGGTGGCGGCTTCGATCGCGTCCCTCGCCAAGTGGGTGACCGTCACGCGCTCACCACCTTGCGAAACTGAGACCGAGAGAACGTCTGGCTTGATGGAATCGTTTACGGTCAGAGTGGCGATGGCAGACAAGAGCTCGGACACCTGAAAACCATGGCAACGGCGTTTTTCAGACGTCTTCGCGGTGACCACATGATCGACTAGGCTCTGGAGAATGCTGGTGTTGTTGGGTGGAGAACCATTGAGGAATTGTGTCATGAGGTTGGTGTCGTTGTCGGTGACAATGTAGGCTAGACAGAGGTCTGAGATGCACCGCAAAAACTCCTCCTCGCGCAAAAACTTATTCGTCAACGCACTCTTCACGGCATCGGTGGAGAAGCAGTGCACGTTGCCAGGCACTCTTGCGATATTGTGGATGATCGAGAGGCTGGCCTTGACAAGGTAGTAAACGTTTTTGCTAGGCAAATTGTCCAGGTAGGGCTGATGACCGATGTTGAGGTTCAGCAAGTTGGGAAGACCCGCGTTAGCCAGGGCTGTGGCGAAGTCCGGCCAGATTTCAGAAAAGTTCCACGTCGTGTTGTAGAAATAAAATGAGGAAAACCAAATATTGTCGTTTTTGAAGACACCCATATTATTCAACTTCTTCATCATCTTCGACGCGAAGGCCGGGTAATCGTGACTGGTCAGGTACTCGGCCAACTCAACACGGTACTGGTGGCAGTCGAAGTAGAGCCGACTCAACTGCTTCCCGGTCTCGTACATGGACCGCAAGTCGGTCATGTCCTCTAGGCTGTGGAAGACCTGCATGACGGAGTCGACGAAGCCGCGCGCCTCCTCAAGAGTGAAGCCCTTGCGACATTGTGGAATCTCAGGTACTCGCTTTGATATGGGCTCGGGATGGTCCATCACAGTCGAAGCAGAAATCAAACGGCAAAGTAAGCGGAGAAGGAGGAGTCAACGAGCGAGGAATGATACAGCAGTTAAATGTCAATTTTAATTTGTGAACAGACGAGTGTTTGGTGGTTGAGGAACTGAACAGACCTGGGTACTGCTGCTGTGTACCTGAAGGAAACAAATACAAAAACCATTTTACCGATGGGTCGTAGGTAAAAAAACAACAACAAATCAGGCGTACTTGCTAGCAAATTAAAGGGAATCGCAAACAACTCAATTAAGGAGCAAAAGCTAATTGTGAATGAAGCAAATTGACATCACTTGGGCCCAATGTTGACAATCAGATCATGTGACAACCGGGCGTTTCGTTTCGTTGCGCAACAACCACCGCTAACAGTGAGGCGAGGTCACTTTAAAAGCGATTACGAATGGAGCTAACGAATCAGTCACCAGCCATGTCCTCGGTGGCTAAAAACGTTTCCAAAACTTATCGAATACAATCAGACTACAGTCGATTGATGAGAAATAGGGCAAAGTCGATATGCGCACAACTGAGAGCCCTAGAATGGGGCTGTTTGGCCTGCTCAGGAAACGGAATCGCGTCCACAATCTCCCAAAAGCACTCTGACTTGTCCTCGTGTCCAAGGAAACTACCTGCTGCGCCTCGTCAGCAGCCGACAAAGCACTAAGCGAGTAAAGGGGTTTTCATGCATTCAAACGAGAATTTAACCACAAAGACACCACCTTCGTGAAATGGCGAAGAATCAAGTTAAGTGAATGGGATTGTGCGTGAGAAGCAACAACAACGACAACAGTCAACACAAAAAGGAGGAAGATGTCGAGTACTTGTCGAAAGGCTATTTATTTGGCTTTGTGCTTTTGAAGTACAGGTACGGAGGTAAATTGTGGTGCGGTGAAGGGGGCTACGAGAAGGCGCGGCCGACCGCCAAGAAGGCTCACTGGTGCGGAGGTCCGAAGGTGTGCAGTAAATGCGGCGCGGCTTACATCGTGTCGAAGTTAATCTCATCCTCAAATCCTATTGGGTGAAAAGAAAAGGAGAAAACTCTATAAATCCTGCTATCACAACTCACCTGATCAAGCAGTCACGTTAATGAGGCCCTGCGTGTTAAATTTACGTCATGCGAATTATCGATTTTTATTTAAACTTTCGAATCAGATGAGTAGGCGTGTAGCGGACTATAAATAGCACACGGAAGAGCACTTCGATCTACGAGCTGCAGCACCAAGATCGGGGATTCAATTTCGGCCAAAATTCGACGGCTTCGAAGTTGAGGTGACAATGAATGTCATCACACAACTATGAGCCAATCAAATGCCGGTGAAAAAAGGCCTCAACGAATCAAAATGATGATCGGGTGACTGGGCGTGTTAAGCTATTCCGATCGCGTCCTTACTGCCTGCAATTTGACAACCTAACCTGGCCTAGTAAACAGACCGATCGGATTTACTAGAATCAACAAAGAGCACATAGAATTAACTAATGAAAATCTATTGCCACAAACCCTACGATTGGCTGAATGTTTGTTTTGTAGGATAGCTGACATCCCCTAGATGAGACGAGACAGACATCAAATCTTCTAAAATTAAGCCCCAATTACAGAAAACAAGACGTACCAGCAAACTTGGTTTTATTGGACACCAACAGGTCGGCCTGTAGCGGAGACATGTGCAGGTAGAACTCGTCGGTGTTATTCTAGACAAATCAAAACGAAACACAGAAACAGGGTTACGGTGAGCAGCACACAGTCGGCGTGATAACCGACACACAGACGGTCAGAGCTCGGAATTGCTGTGTCAACTTTGTGCCCACAAGCCCCGAAAAACGGGACAACTTGAAGTGAACACCGCCAGACCACGAAGTCGGCAATTTAAGTGATTTTCAGTTAACACGGAAGGCGACAGATCAAAGGAGCATTGCGAGCACATCGGCAAAGGCGCCACGCGCGCGCGCGCGAAAAAAACAGGAAGGTCGAACTTACAAAGAAGTCCTCATAAAACGCCTGTCCCATGATGTGGGCGACCACTGCTTTGATCGGCTCATACCTCCCACAGAGAGTCTAAAGTGGTAGAAGCATCGGTAACACAAAAAAGACAGCCCCCCCCTCACCAAAGTCAACACCCGCTTGAGTCGCCCACAAAGCGTTCGACGAATGGCGCAAAGCGGTGTTTTCGCTGGTAAGGCCGTAAATCAAATTATAGGGAGCAATAAGCCAACTCGGCCTACTCGACAACCAAACAATAATAAAATAAGCATCGACAACAACAACAACAACGGCAATAACACGGACACACCTTGAGGGCTAAGCTGGCCTGGCGTTGGCTGTCAGGATACTCCAAATTACCCATGGCATAGAGAAGTCCCGATAGTGCTCCGAACTAAAATCGACGATCAAAGAAAGAATGTGAATCACTCACCTTCAACAACTTCTTTGCGAGATCGGCGCTGTCCTCAATGAGAATGCTAAACAGGCACAAAGCATTGTGAATTTGTAAAATCCGGTGTGGGTTCAGGCGAGCCTCCCGCACAAAACTAACCGAATACACCTTGCGGCGGAGGCCTGTTGGACGAAAACGGGGGTGGGCAATTGAACAGCCTGTTCCTCGGCGGCCTTCCGGCGTTTGTCCTGTTTATCCAGGTCTTTCGGGGCTGCCTTCGTGGCAGCGCCCTCCCCGGGCACCTTGTGCTGGCTCCTGGTCTTGGTGGGGGAGCTCGAACGGCTGCCGCGAGAGCCGGAGGAGTACCGGACGCTTCTTTTCGGACGCCCCTCTCGACGATGCGCTGACTTGGAGGGTTTCGCGACCATAACGCCATAGCCCATGGTGTCGACCTCATCGACCTCTTCCTCCGCCCCAGCTCCCGCCTCCTGTTTCATCTTCATTTTTATCTTCTTTTCGCCGACCGTGGATTCTTTCGCTGTGAAACATAAAAGGCGAAGGATCTACAGCTTGCGGCTAGGAAATGTGCTAATAGGGCGAGTACGTTAACACGTCGACACACACACACACTATGAGCTGGAACTTATGATATTTCTCAAGAAGTGGACGGGAATCAACAAATGTACACACGATGGGATCAGAAATCATTTGTTGAGTTCGAAAAACGGGAAGATTATTTATGTAATGTGCCCTTTCAACTACGACCTGGGTCCAGGTGTATTTTTGGTGAACCAGTGAGATTGGTCTTCTGAAAGGAAGTTTTGTAGTTGAAGAATTGAAAAACCAATCATGGGAGTCCACAGAAAAATCGAGAGGTAATACTGTGCCGTCGAGGTGCGGCAATCGTAAAGGTTGAATGCATTGTCGGAAGACGTTTGAGGTGAATTGCTGCAGCCGATACAACCTTTTCTCCCAGCACGAAAGATTGATCGTAAAAGTGGAGCGTAATGCCTGACTGCCGCCGTGAAATAGTTGAGGCTTTTCGACCTGGTTGGGAGTTGAGAACCAATAGGTGGAACGGATCGAAAATGTCTTCCAGGCAAGCGTCTAAAGTTGAGCAATGTGGCCAAGTTGTTAAAAGTGGAAGTGTCGCAGGAACATAGGTCGGCGCCGAGAGGTGATGGAAAGCGACGGCCATCGGCAACAAGTCGATACGAGTGAATGCAGGCCCCAACATGTGGTTCGAACCCAGATGGGAGACGGCGCGGACAACCGCTCATTAGACGGCTTCAACTAGCTGTGTCGTGGTTTGTGCATCAATGGTGGTACACGACTAAGGCAGCTGTGGACCAAGAGAGTTGGGGGTGAATTAGTAAAAGTACAGATGGCTGAAACGGGTAGTGGTGGCGGCTACATGCCTAGGGGGTGTATGAGCAGACGGGCCCGCGCTACTGAGGAGCAAGCCGTGAAAATGGGGGTGGTGTATTGCAGGCTTAGGCGATGGCCACGCACCAACGCGATTCACCTCAATACGAGCCACTCTAATCTCTGTTTCGATTAGCGATAATAGGGTACTTAATTGGCGCTACGAAAGTTTTATCGCTTAATTTCAATGAAAACACAGCTTGGTGAACATCCCAATAATTAAACAACTCAAGGGTTCAAATCTGCCTCGATATTTTGGTGATTTTTTCACAGACGTTGTCAACACCTTCGGCAAATAAATCGGCACGTGCGGCCCTTAATTGGCAATTAAAATGGGCGCGATGTGTCCTCAGGTGGGTGATGACGCGAAAATTGGAGCAATTCATTTTGAAAGGAAGGCATTAGGCCGCATTGGTTCCTTCTGTCACATGTACACCGCGGGTTAATGAAATTTCGTCGTATCATCATTCGGTGTGTCAGTTTGGCGCAGATTTGAGACTGTAATACGATTGCCGGTCAATCGACGCCGGCATATTAGGCAAGCAGAGATCGGGTGCAAATGACATCGAGTTAAATTGAACAAACGGCTTGTGACCAACAACCTCAAGGATTTAAGTCTTATTGGTGACAGATTTGGAGAAGAAGCGGTGGATAACAGCAATCCGAAGGGCCATTCTGGGGAGGGCAATCAAACCCCGATTATCAACTGCAGAATCTGAGCAGCCATTAAATTCTTAGCGCCGATTTGGGAAGCACTTTACGCCGGCGCCAATAGGAAAAAAAAGTGCTCGCGTTTCACCAATAGCCGAACAAGGGAGCAGAGAAGCAGTAAGTGAATTGGCAACAGTCCAGAGGAGGCGTCGAACCCACAGGTGAAGGAGTCTGTTGCATAATTCAATTAGCAAGTCAGGGCAGAAAATCACAGGTTGCAGGAAGAAGAGGGTAGTCTAAATGGCTGCGGTAGGGACGGACGCACACAGAGGAACCTGGCCGACTCGTTCACACGCAACCATAGTCTATACATCACAAAAAACGCCGGCAATTGCATGTCCACAGTAAGCATAATGGAGGGTAAATCGCCACGTGTGTGTGTGCGGATGTTTGTAGTTTGCGCACATTGCATAAAAGTAGGCATCGCTGCCTGCTTCTGAGAAGATCGCTTTAACAGATTTAAAGACTAGTGAGATCAGAAGTTTCGACAATATTGCCCGCTTTGTCAATGCTCTCAGGAGGTGGTCAAATGCGGATTATAGGCACCAGGTAGAGGACCTAAAGCACGAAATTAGGCGCCGTTAGATTGGACTGAAGTGGATTGGATGGGGTGAGACGGTTAAAAAATCTGAGCACTGCCAAGGTCAGATGCCTGACCCGCATATTTTCTGTGGCGACGCACAAGTGAGACGTTGAAATCGGCTTTAGAAGTGGTCAGGCTTGCATCTGGAGAAAGAAGAACAGGACAACCCGTGAGCAGCCCAAGTAACTGAGGATACAAAAAGCGACGCTCTCTGGAGAAATTTAGCCGCGAACAAGGCGTCCCCAGGGACTGATTAATCGAGTTAGCAAGTTAGCGAAAGTTGGCAAACGAATGTTTCACTAAAACACACAGGGAGGGAAACCGAAATTAGTGCAATACCGGCTCCAGGTAAGTGTATTTTTTCGTCAACCCAGGTGACAGAAGTGGACACGATGTTGCGGAAGTGGGAATGCTCACGTCGTGCAAACTGCCTGAACACAGTGGTGTGGTCTTGTGGCAAACAAGACGAGGCAAAGTGGTGTGGCGCTCTGCTGGCCACAGAGATGGATGGCAGTGAAAAAACGGAGCCGAACACTGGCGGCAAGCGCAATCGGCAGGACCGCCAGGGCAGCGGGAGGTGCTTAGGGAAGGGAGAAAGATGGGAGCGCGCGCGGCAGCATGGGAGAGGATTGACGTCAAACGCAAACGACACGCGCTCGCATGGGCTGGGCACTACGGCCATGTGACGACGACGACGACAACGTGTGTCTCTACTGGTTGGTTATTAGTAGTGAGACCAGAGACTTTGGTCGCTCCCGGCATCCGCTTCCCTATTGGCTGATTTCATTTTCCCACACACACAACTCACCGCCAAGTCGCCCGGCCGATTCCCTCAAACTCAAATACCTCCCGATTCGCCGGAAACATGACTGTACCTAATTTAAACAACGAAAGCAGTTCGATTTGTCAAAATCAACAACAAGCCAGCCTACCTTCGACGTCGCTCTCATCGGAGCTGCTGTCGGAGAGGGCTCTGGTTGACTCGTTGAAGAGCTTGCCGAGTTCAATTTCTCGCTGCGGATGAAGCAGGCCAACGAGGGCTTGCAGAATGTCGTCGGCTATGTCGCACTGCATCAGGCTGCGCACGAGCTCCACAGCTGAAAAGAATAGGGTAAGTAGTTCACCGAGCGTCAAGGCTACAGCTTTGTGCCGAGGAATGACGAAGCACATTGGTATTCACGGAGAAAGGTGATCGGTGTAGAGCACAAGTTTTACCTTCTAGCAAACAACTTTCTTTGGGAATGTTGAACATGGGTTTCACTGAATAGATTTTACGCAAGTTGCATTGTACTTTACGCAAATAGCCGTATTGTTAAAGAGCTCAAACCCCGAAACTGCGCAGAATGGATTACACCGTCCACAAGTTACGGGCTGATGCAATAAAGCGCTAACTCCGTTAACTCAAATTCAACAAACTAAAACACACTTTCTGTCACAAGTATTTAAACTTATCTACAAGATTAACCGAATTGGCAACCATGCAAAGCACGCCACAGGAGTCGTAATTGTTCCGATAGCATCAATACTCGAGAGGCGAAAATCGTAGTGATGGTGGTGGTGGTGAAGATCTTGTGATTCATTTAGAAAATTAGCGCTAATGACATTTCGGACGATAGGATCAACAAGGATTCCCACGTTAATTAGTCGAAAACCACAATTTAGCAAAAGAAACTCAACTATTCAGCCTACGAACAAAAGCCACATTAGACAGTCGCTCCGAAGTGGGCTAGTTAAAAGCAGTCCCGACTAGTTTTAATCGCAAAACACGACAACTTACCAGCAGCCTGAACGGAAAGATGAAGCGACTCCATTATGCAGTTGATGCGGTCGATGAGCGCTCTGTTCGCCACCGGATTCCCGGCCTACAACGAGGGGAGGGAGTGTTTAGAGGCGACGCGTAGTCTCGTCAGAATCCCGACAGGCCAATCAACCAATCAATCAATGCAATCAACGCCATTCGTGGAAGACAATTTACGGTCTTGCTCAAACCCCCACGTTGTTTTAAACTAACGGAAACGCACTAGAGTCGCCAACAGACGTTGGTGTCGAATCTCATCGAACACCCAAACTGTTTTACGACAAGAAAACGGGCGCGCGGTAAGTGGACCACAACCAACTGCACTTTATCAGCGTGTCATCCATTCCTCACAAAATCTACTACCTTCCGAATACGAATGACACTGATTGGGCCCACACACACCAGCAAAACAGCCAAATATCGAGTCGGGGATAGGCCTACGACGAAAAATGACACAGTTTGCGGTAGGACTTTGGGAGAAATGGAGACACAAGTTATTTCAAAGGGCTAAATTCGACAGCCAAATGCCACACACGAAATCAACGCGCGACATGTAGGTCTAAATGTCGAATAAACCTGCCAAGGTAAAGCACAGAGTTGCTTAAAGCTAAAATTCCGCAAACTCACAGAGGAAGTTGGCAAGCAGGAAAAGCTTTGCAAGACACGCCTCCCCAAAATGCGTGAGTTCTTGAGGTATGCGGGTTGAAATTGATGAAATTAACACACACACACACACACACACTCACGTCGGCGCAAGTTAACTACTTCAGTGACCACTGCACCGTTTTACACAAATCAAGTGAATAAGCCTTCAATAAAACAGCCTGCGATGACATTAATCTCGGTGAAGCAACAGCAGCTTAGCACGCACGCTGATGTTGGAGCTGCAGAGCCTTTTGTCCACAAATCCCCAGGTCCTGTCATAAATCACGCTAACACTGCCCGTGCCAGTGCAACACAAATTCGCCCATCCCACAAGGCATAAGAGTGGGGCGCTTGTTCCCATGTCTGGGCCATGGCGTTAGGACAACCTAGTTAAACTTAAAATGAAATTAAATCGAAGTATGCGCGGTAGTTGATGGCTGCTTGAAAGAGTCTACAGTAGTTAAAACGCCCGGCTACCTAGAGAACAGCAGTGCATTAGCGAGCGCATGTCCATGAACGCGCGTGCAGATAATTTAAATGTACAGCTATGCTTGGAGGTGTTTTTTTGGTTCGTTGCGTTCATGTGAATTCAGTCTTCGACAGCAACTTCTACCTGGGCTAATTTATAATAATTAATAATTAAAATCATATGGGAAAATTTGTTTACAAGAATGCGAGGGAGTAAAGCGGGGAAGCGGTCGCTAAAAATTAAAGGGTTGTGGGAGGTGAAGCAAACGGCCAACGCGGAGAGACACCAAGGAATGCAAACTAATGCGAACCGAGAATTGACAGGCGATCGTTGAACGGATTTTGCCACAAACCATCCGCGATCGCCATCACACACACACACAGTTTGTCAACCTGCAAACTTCCACAGCAAGTCCACGGTCCGTGCCACAGAGATAGGGAAAAGTGACCGCAATTCACACAATCACCAGCATGCATGACCTCGCGAAACCGCGTTCAGGTAGGTATTCATTCGTCAACGATAAAATGCCACAATTAACTGGTGCTTCGAGCGATCGTTGAATATAGTGAAACAGCAATTTGTAGGTCCGCAGACACAGGCTCCGATGGTGCCCAAACAATGTACGTAAGCGACAAATGGCACTGCACTGGACGTTTCATGGCGTGAAATCTGACACTTCGACCAAAAGACAAAAACAGGACTTTTGAACAAACCTGAAACACTTCTTCACACCGAGCAAGACTTGACTTTAACGCAGATTGTTGCATAGTGAAGGCAGGCCGTCAAGCGTTGCCGCAGTGTACAAAGGCTTACAAGGAATGCGGATGTTTGTAACGAGGGATTGGGGCTACTGCAATCGACTACATGGGGGTGTTGGTTACCCTTTTTCATCAGACACCAAGTACCGCTAAATAATTGCCATGAGACAGTTGGGGATCAGGGCATTTCGGATTCAGTCGTGAATTGGTTGGCTAGCATTAATCAGTTGTTATTTCAGAATGTGAATTCTTCGCACACCGCAGTTGAGATGAAGGCGGATTTGATAGACCGTTGGTCTAATGTCAAAACAACACGTCGCAATCCATTTGGGCTAAAAGTACATTCAATTATTTTTGTTGAAAAACCAGTCCCATTGGCACAGGAACTTGCATAGGCAACCACTGTGGCGCATGATTGGCGATTAAAAGATGTCATGTTTGCCTTTTTTCGACGGCAGAAGAAATTAGCCGTGTGACACCGCTTTGTACTCTACACCTACAGTAGCGAAAACAGCTGGTTGCCAAGAGATGACGCCGACACGAACGAGTCTACAGGTGGATGCATCGGTGGAGCGTCGGCGGTGGATTTGGCAGTGCCGCGTCAGTGGCAAAGTCCACACTGCTCAACTGCCTCGCGACGGGCAGATAACGAGAAAAAGAAGAACGACAACAACAAGTAAAACACCGCCAGATGCTGTGGCATTGCGCCGTATCGCCCAATCGACGAGGCTGGAAAGAGAGGTGAGCGAGCAGAGAAAGCAGCAGTGAGTCAAGTGAAGCGACAAGCGCAGCGCTGGGTTGGCCTGCCAGTCGTGCATTAGAGGAAATGCCACGTCCACTTAAAAGGGGGAAGAGGGGAGAAAAGAACACCCCGGGCAGTCGTTACATTGAGAAATTGCAAAAAAATGCTGCCTGATTGGAAACCAAATTGTTCAAGAAAGTACACTTTTTATAAATCACTGCAATACGCACCGTCACTTCTTTTAACTATCACCAAAACATTTAGCAAGCTTTCAAACTAATACATCGTGTAAACTGCGTTGCTTCCCGTCACAGAAAGTCACACGGTGGTTTTTTCACGCCGTTCACACGTTCAGCTTTCTTCTCAGCCAGTTTATTGTGCAGAGGATGGGGCAGGGTAGGGGGAATACGACTTGCTGGAAAACTTGCCATTTTAACCCCCCACGTTTTTGTAGTGTCTGCTGTGCGACACGGGGTCTAGGGTTGTCACAGTGAAAGACGACGCCTATTCGACTGACCACAGTTGAACGTCTAAAACAGATTTCAGCAATTAGGTGTGTTGGCGACTCTGCGCGTGCTGCGTGACTACCAGCCACAAAACATCAGTCGCTGAATGCGGCAACTCTGGCATCGCCTAGAGGCTACACTTTTGCTTCAATGACCTCAGCCTTCCTTGCTATTGTTGTGGGTCCCAGCATGTGGTCTTGAACTACGCCGAGGCCACGGAATTAACCCTGGCCCGACTACGCTTGCCTAATACCAGCGATGAAGAAAAAGACCGGAGCGGACGTGGACACAAGCGTCTACTTCAGAGCTCAACCACATTGGTGTCGTTGTGTCGTGTGTGGGGCTTAAGCGTGTGTATTTATACCTCAGATGTGTGAGTCATACATGCTCTAACACCGAGACCTAGGTGTGGGGATACTCCAAGATAAAAATTCGTGTTAATGAAGGGGAGTTAAAGATTCGCGCGGTTGGCGACATGCTGCGACAAGGGGAACCCTGTGCAGGGGGTGGAACGACCGGATTAAGGGGTTGAATAAACACGATTCACAACAGCTTGATTTTGAAGTCGGGCCACAATTTCGCCTCCGTGATCTTAGCTTTCCTTGCTATGCTGGTACACAGAAACCCAATTTCTCACCATCACTTATAACCTGACCCCTCCCCTCGGGAAGTTCGTTTTGTTGATGGACAAGGGGCGAAGGGGCCGTGGAAGCACGTTCCACTTTGTTGCGCCCCGTCAAACCACGACAAGCCCAATTACCTGTATCGAGTTTCTAAGTGTACACAAGATGGCACAAATAGTGCAATTCAGTTGACTTGCAAAGACTTAGTTCCCGGATTGAATTTATAACTTTAAAATTGACCGAAGACTCGCAGTGCCTCCAGTGCAGAGTCGACAGCATCCAGCATCCAAGTGAACACTTCGTTGATAACCACGGGTGAAGTCATTATCAATGCTGGAAGATCACAGTCAGAGTAGAAATTTATCATTTAGATGAAATTTTCTGAGGAGCCCGACCAAACAAACGACACTCACGCATTACACGACAAAAGAGGCACTCCGCCTTCCTACTTTCATCATTAAAAATGCACACAACTTAATTGTCAACCCATGACGCGTCTAAAAGGGCAACACATCGATAGTCAAGAGTGCGTGTCTCTTCAATCGGCGAAAAACGGGCACGAGGTTATGCAATCATCCAGCATAAAATGGCAACTTAGCTACATGCGATCTCACTACGTAGGCACCCGGTCGTTGGTACCACAAGTTTGCTCGGATTCTCAACAAATAACCGACACTTTGATGGTCCTGTCGGCTTTCTCGTGGCTGCGAAGCAAACCCGCCTTGTTGTTGATGTTTCGAGTGTCAACAACCGGTGTGGTGGATTCGAGAAATCCCGAACATCTAGCAAGATCTTCCTCTGAGGCTTCGCAATGACTGAAAACCTGGCGGGAATTGAAATTTTCCGGTGCTGGAAAGCAATTCGATTACGCGGAGAGGGGAGCAGGCTAGTTTGACCATAACGCCCACGCCACAGCAGTTTTATCGATGAAGAGTCACTTCTTGGGGTCGCCAACAGACTGGGGGAGGGAATGTGGCAACAGTTATGGACACCTCACGCACCAATCAAAATGGGGAGCACGCGAAGTCTGAAGCAAACGAACGACGACAAGTGGGCTCGAGTGTGCTAGAAAAAGCACGGGTTCGAACGAGTGTCAAGCTCCTAGACGGCCGTCAACACGATCAGGCAAGGCAAATTCAACAGTCTTAAGACGAGAGGTCGCAAGGAGGAAGCAAAAAGAGCACAACGACACAAGACGCCTCGCTCAAGCCATAAATATACCAGCTGTGTGCTTGTCGTTTTAGCCCATAGAAGAAAAAAAGAAAAGAAATGGGCTAACTGTCGAACAGCATCATTAAAAACGGCGAAACCTAGCTCCTCTGTGAGACGCTAGCGCGATTCCGCTGCTCTGAGCTTAAACTTTCGACGTGGCAAAATTTAACCAAAAAAATGGGGACGCAAAACGGGCTATAGCGATCACACAAACAAACGAAGGTACCCGAACAGATTTGACAAGAGGAAAATGAGATTTAGTGGATTCGAAACAATAACGCCGACGACGCCGACAATAAGGACCAAAGCATGCGATTTCGGACGTTTGTAGAAGGTCAAGAGCAAAAAAACGATAACGCAAAATGAGTTCTCGCACTTGCACACAAACAAGGGTTCATAAATGCACTTGGAAAGAGAGAACATGAGATGCACCGCGTTGAAGACTGAAGAGAAAAACTCGCTGCCACCAACAAAAAAAACCAGAACATGAGGTTTCCGGGACTTGTAGGTCAACTGGGCAAAAAAGCCGAATCCCGCAGCTTATGAAACCAGCTTGAAGTTGGCGTTCGTACCTTTTTTTCCCCCGGGGGGAGAAAAGAAGTCAAGAGAAAAGCTGGGTTTGCATTATTTATTTGGGGCTGTGGAAAACACTGGGCACGACGAGTCGACGGGAGGGCAGAGGAATAAAAACCGTTGTGCGACGCAGCACCTCTTCAACAAGTGCAAATTGTGGCACTACATGGAAGGCAACAAGCACGAGAGCCTGGAGAAAGTGACACCTGGGCTCGGAAATCGCACAAGACGGGCCTAGTCGGCGAAAAGGCATCCGAGTGAGAAGGTGATGCTCGCTAGGAATTTTTACTACCATTATCGCAACCAACGCTACAACAACGCAGCGGCAGATAAGTTATGTTGGACATTAAAGTGTCTTTGTTTACGCACGCACACACAAGTAGGAACATAAAACAGAGAACCCCTGGGAAACGGCACTTGGTGAGTGAGGAGGGAAAAGACATTAGGAAAACCCTCGATCAATCGAAGTTTGGCATGAATGGGGAATTCAATTACAATAGAAACGACACAGAGCAAGCTCTGTGTGTGCGTGCGTGCGGGCGCGTCGGTGATGTACCACAAAACCCACCCGGCTAGCTACTGTACATTCCCAAAATCGACAATTCTCACAATTTTTTGAAGTGCCTAATAAACCGCGCCGACCTGGAAGAGTCATCACAAATCATCGGGCAACATGCAGTTCGCTGTGGAAGCAGATCAAGTTTGCATTGGTTCGAAGGGTCCTTGAAGCGGAAAGTTTTTGCGCGAATAGGGCGAACTTGCGTAACACTGACTGGATGGGGTTCAACTAATTTCACTCAATAACCAACCTGACGACATCGAAGCACGCTCAAGATTCAACGGAGAGCAAAGACGCTACCGAGATAGCTGGCAGCACGACAGGACAGGCACAAAGTTAAGTAAACACAGGACAAACAACCTGAAGTATGCGGATGGACTGGAGAGCGAGCTGTTGGGCCTTGGCGGAGTCGCAGGGTAGAACAGCGATGAAGCCCTTGTAGACCTGGTCGCGGAACCGCGGGTTGCCCTCGGCCAGCAGCTCAAGGACGCTGCGTGCCGCCTCCTGAGTCTGCTCGGAGTTCGATTTTGCCATGCACTCGGCAACGGCACGGATTCCTGAAAGTGGGCAGACGACAACCAGTTGAAGTGTGTTCGACCGTCTGGGGAGTGAAAAGGGGAACGCGGTGGGACAGGCAAGTCCGCTACACCCGACCCGGCGGCGGGAACAGATTTTGGGCAACGGTGGACAGCCCGATGCATTGACAAGGAAATCGATAGATTCAGCCTCTCTACATGTGTTAATTAAAAGACAACTCCAAAGAAAAACATGATTTGCGGTGCTTTTAAGGAATAACTGCACCGTCAAAGGAAAAAACCACAAACTACCTTCAACGACCTGGTAACAAATCAGGACCGGCTGCCTGATGACGATGCCGAATCATCTTCCAAGCACTTAAGAATTGCCTCATTTATAACGGTTAAGATTGATTGAGAAAAGATCATCTACATTCGCCCTAGCTCACGTAGTTATGTGTTCCAACACGACGACGTTTAGCTGTTAATCAAAAGTGACATTTGGGGCAATCATGGAAAGAGGAATTGATTAAAAAGCCCGAAGAAGACTTGGGGAAGACGTAAAAGCAAGTAAGCAGCAGGATTGCGCTGGTTCTCGCTTTGCACAGGCAGAAGGGAACAGGTGACTGGTGTACGGTTTGCAGCCATGTGGCATGCCGTTGTCAATGGCGATGCGCGGCGTGAACGCTTTTTGATTCACAGCACCACCGCCCTCCCCGCGTTTTAGCGCCCGTTAACAGACATTCGTGGCAACAGACACTCTTAGTGCCATTCTAACCTGCGCCATCTGCATAGAGCATGGACACAATCACGAGGAAAACGGGGGTGATTTAAGCCAAGCGCATCCCTAGCCTAAGAGGAGGCAAACGTCTAAGAGAGCCTTTTGACAGCAGACTTATCCTCGGTTGGAGTTACGTGCAATCAACCCACTCGGCGGTGGGCGGAAAATGGACGGCAACCGTATGCAAGAGAGAGAGCGAGCCACATATGTGCATAGGCATGTGTACGGAAGGACAAATCACGCAACAAAGGCGTTCCCTATCCCACGCCGCCGGCAACAGGGAAACTACATATCAACTTCCTGAACCAATCAATAAGTGCTGAACGCGTTTTTTCCCGCTAGAAAGGGAACAGAAGGCCGGGAGTAAGAGAGAGCGACCGAGGCCTGCAAAGGCCTAGTCCACAATTTACCTGTCAAAACAACAACCGAATGGTGGTTAGGAAGGCGCGTTTGAAAGGAATTTTGAATAAAGGAGGCGACAGTGAGAACAACTAGAAAGGGCGAAGAAAAGCACGCCAATTTGAAGTGCTTTTTGGTTGATTTAAACAAACCAAGGTGTCCTGGCTACCAAAAACAGGACTTGACAAACACTTGACGGTAGATGCGATTGAAAGTTTCTCTGAACTCGCAAAATTTAAAAAAAAAGCAGGCGGACGAAACAGGAGCATTTAAGCGTACTTCAACCGTTGACTTGCAAAAAAGAGGCAATTTGTTAGGCAGAAGAGCATGCGCTCTGAAGCAAGTGCACCAGACGAAAGTGAATTAGCAGCAGCGCAGGCAAATACTCAACAACTAAGCCTCATGAATAAGTGAACGAGGCTAAATAAATTTTGCGTATTTTTTTTAGAGCACACAACCCCCAGCTACAGTGGAGAATGTAAGTGAAATGGAACAACGCAAAGCAAGCCTTTTTTTGCTAATGAAGTAATACCAACTAGGGTCTCAAGGCGGGAACGCAGGCCAAATTAGAAAAAAAGAATTACCAAAAACATGGTGCATTCATTCTAATCAAGATTTTGTTTTGTTGGCAATGTAGCCAAGATTTACGCGACAGCGGCTTCGCCCACAGAAGAATCAAAGGTTGTGTGTGTTTTTTTTTAATGAAAATCGTTTCTTTGGCACAGTAGACATACCCGATTGCGGGCGACGTTTTTGAAATGCTTTTTCTTTGCAGAAAAAGCCAAATACGTGCAGAGTTATAGTAAATTTCGATTAAGATCGGTTTACACGATTTCGCCATGTTAGAAAGTGAAGAGAAAGAGATAATACCGGACGAAGCTGCTCACAAATTTATAACTGTATCAAAGAAGTGGAAGACACACAATTGTGGCCACTGGAGCTAAGGTACATAAAATAATCGCCACCGCCACCATCACCGCCATCGCCAAAAGAATCCCACATTGTTTGAAACCATTACCAAATCGACTATGGTGGTGGTGGTGGTCTTTTGACTTGATTTATGCCAACAAATTCACACGCAACGCCAATTTATGTACGAGGTGGTTAACGCGTTCGGAACAGACGACGCCGGTCATAAACACCATGCAGTCGTCGCTAAGACGTGAACAGTCAGCTTACGTCTGATTTTCCCTCCTATAGACCAGTGGTCAAGAAGGTATAAGCAATAACCCAGGCGAGTCAAGACACTGGCAACACAATTGGGTTGATTCGATGAATCTAGTGAAGCGCAAGTTATGGAAAACATAGACTTCTTGGCATCGATGGACATGCTCACTTCGCTAGCTCGAGGTATGGAACCTGGACGTTTTCTTCGGCGACGGAGGCGTGTGTTGGGGGGACAAGCTGAGCAAGGCGAGAAAAAGTTGCAGACGATGTCTAGACGGATGAGCTTTCGCGTTTTTCATGTAAGACCACACACTTATTGATTCAAGAAGTTGAAATGTAGTTTTCCTGTTGCAGGAGCTAGATAGGGGAAGCCTCTGCTGAGTAATTTGTCTTTCTGTACACACACACACACATGTACACACGGTTGCATGAGATTCCCGGAGAGAAATAAATGCTGGAGACGAAAAAATGGACTCTACAGACACAGCAGCAAATGTCTTGACGGTCAAAACCCTCTCATTAGTACCGTAGACTAATCGGAGCATACTATAGACCCAGGGATGTGCAACTAGTTTGCCCATAGTGTAGTCATCAAGTTAGGCCAGACGGAGAATTCACTGCGCGATTAATTGTGGTAACGAGTTTTAGACAACAAACTAACCGTAGCATTCGCAGATTGTCTCCTTGTAGCGAGTGCCACCGTTGGCGACGCAGGAGAGCACACGCAGTGCCCAGTACTTGTCAATCTCCTTGGCATTCGGCAGGATGCACAACTCCTGCAGACAAAGGACTCCGCCGTTCTCCAGGAACTCGGTCAAGAAGTTGTGGCTAGAGATTTAGAGAAGTGGGTATTACTAGCTACTGCGCAGATGCGTGGCCAATGCTACTAAATTACACCAAAATGCCACGACGAGATCACCCAACACGCAAAACACACACGAGGATGACTATTTCCTAAACAGAAATCTCGAGTTTTGGATGCATTTGACGAATTAGAACCGCTGAATCAGGTCAGGCTCATGACCAAGATCCAGAGGTGCTTTTCACGTCACGGCTGTCAAATCAATCTGCATACCGACCAGTTCAAGTGTTGGGTGTGTTAACGCATACACACGGTTAGGGTGGCCGCAGCGGAGCGGCTAACACAACTGTGCTAAGCTGTCCAGTAGTCGGTAGTGTCTCCGCCGTCTCTGGTCTTCCAAGTAGTGTAAACGGACTAATTCAGCTAGTCGGCCGCGGCGTGTCACAAGACCACACAACGAGGCCTACAGCAAGCGGTTTGGCAGAATCCCAGGGGTTAGAGTCCAACCTTCTATGCTTTGCCAGTTAGGGTGAAAAATCTGACAGAGGTCAAAACCACAGACGGTGGTTGCCTAATGCTAGCTATCCACTAATGAAGCAATGATGAAGTGAAAACACATCGAAAAATTGCACGACTACACCGGTGGCAGTTGGGCAATGAAGAGAGAGAAGACAGGCGGACAGGTGCGCCAAAAACCAATCCACATCGCTAAAGGCAGCTTCAACGGTTATTTTTTTCGGCGCGGGTTTCAGGTGGAAATGCAAAGAACAAAACGCCATTACAAATGGGGATAAGAACTGATGGCGTTAGTGTAAGGCAGCCAAACGCAAGCAAGCGGACGGTAAATTTCGCATAGTAAATGACATGCACGAGGCACAACGACTGGCAGGCTTCAATCTGTAATAGCAAATCTCTCTCGCTCTCTCCCAAAGGTGGGTCAGTTCAGCTTCAGAAATGACAACAAAAAGAAGCATGGTGGGGGGAGGGATGGGGGGTTAGCAGATGAAGCACGCCATGCAAACATTACAGATTCTTACCGGAGAGGTCAGCCATCTGTGTGAAAGGGACATGCAAACGGTGTAAGCAAGGTAATTTGGCTTTTCTGTGAGTTCGCAAGTGACAAACACGACAACCAGCCCACCCCACTCTGAACCAACCACGTGGCTAGGGCCTCGAAGGCACGGAGGTGCGCTCCCGGTAATTGGACAATGCTCAACTGACCTGCCAGCCGCTGAGAGGAAGATGTAGAGGACCTGGAGTTGCTCCGTCAAACAGACTCCGTTCATGTAACTAAAGGCAAAAAGAAGAACGGCAGTCGCATTAGTCACAGTAACTCAGCCTTGCACACAAGTCGAGTTAGTTACAATGTGAACCGGGTAACTTAGAAAGCGACTGTGTGAGCGGGTGAAAATTCAACTTTAAACAACCGTTGAGCCCGGGGATTTGGAGCTGGCAAAACGCCGATTTTGCTGGTGTAGAATTAGAATGAAAGGCGCGACGTGGATTAAATAGCATCATCGACATGAAAAATGACGTTTCGGAGGTGAATAACCCTAGGTGATTTCGCTGAATAGATCGCACCAGTGGGCTTGTGTCATGCAATGGTGCTATAACGGCGTACCCAATATCAAAGGCTACACTACAAATCAGATGACCGCATTTTGTTAAGAAGACGAAAACGAACAGTCCAGATAGATTCCAAAATTTGCCAACAAAGAAAGGAGGTACACTATCGAGGGTCCGCATTTTTACGAAGACAACATTCTTCAACATTGTGGTTAATAAGAGGAATTTTGAGACGAGAATCTGTGCTCTTTATTCGTTATTCTTTGTATTAATTACAATAAAATTACAGGTGTGAGCGATAAGAGAAAGAGAGAGTAATAACCGTTGTGACTATCTACGCTAATTCTGACCGACCTCTTCGACAAAGACCACAAGATTGGTCCAATTAATGTCGTTCTTTAGCGGTAAACCCAAGGTCATGTCGAATGACAGCACAGTCTTTCCTAGTAGGGTGTTACAGACGAAGTTAATGCATTACACGTTGGCGTGGTTTCTCAGAGATTCTAGACGGGTTTTTGTTGGAAAAGTTCGTTCCCGAACGCGCCGGTTTCACATGACGTCGACTCCCTTGGAGCAAAGACTGTACGCGGTGGGTTGATTTAAAGACTGATACACAAACCTTCAGTTAGAGCTACGCCTCAGCGTCGCGAGGGAGTAAGTTTTAAAGGAAAAAACGCTGGGTGGGACGAATTTCCGCCTCAAACGAGGGAGGAAAATTTCCCCGTCCTCTGAAACGAGCAGGAGGAACAAACTAAGGGGGAATGAAGACAGAAAATACACCGACTGACGTCACTGCATGTGTACGCGATGGAACGCGCGCGGGCATACGCACAACGTCTTGGACATAAAAAAGAGTTACCCCAAGTCAACCACGGAGTAAAGGGGATGAGCAGATCACTACGAAAAACCACAAACCATTCGGCTCATTTTTTTTTAAAAAAAACATTCAAGCTGGGTACAAGAGGAGCCAGACATCGGCTTCGATGGGCGGGGTGTCGGAAAAGCGGTAACACGACAAAACTTTGATTCAGACAGCCTACTTCTCCTGTACCTTCCACGACATTTTGGCATCTTTCATGTGATTCTGCGCGCATTAGACCCCTGCGCCTGAGCAACCAACAACTGAGCCGTGTGCGATTTCGGGTCAACAGCTTCTCTTGCGTCTGCGTTTGTTGGATGCATCGTTAGGTTTCAGTATTTGCGCATTGTTAACACAATGAGCGAGTCATTTGACGGTTTTGAAGCAGCTGAAGGTTGATCATGTTTCAAAGCAACTTCCCAGTACGAATCGTCATGGAGAGGTAAGGCTGTGCTTAAATTTGTTCGCTTTGCACGCCACGCTGAAAACTGCCGGTAGAATAACAGCCGCAAGCCAAGTTACGCGACATCCATCACTAGTCAGGGGGAAAAGAAGTCGCAACGCTGACAGAATTCCATCAAAACAAACTGCACGCAGTCTGCCCGCCAGCGCGTTAGATGCAGTCAAATGGAAAAAGCCAAGCGGACCCACAAAGCGGCGATGGAGCAGAATGGCAGTGTGTGAAATTTTTGTGCGACACCAAATTTTCGCAAAGACTGAAAGAGAAAATTGGCTACTGCTCCTGCCGCCGCCACCGCCGCCGGTCGATGGTGTAGGTCAGCAAAGCCGTGAGGGAACCTGACAAGGCGGCCTTGCGGTTAAAACGCCGACATCAAGTTTAGCGCGGTGAGAAGTAACCGGAGTAAAAAATTGAGTAAACACCACCACACACACGCAGACATGACAACTAGCTCCCCCGTGGAGAGCGGTGTGATTGGTCATTGCGATGAGTTGCGGTGTCGGTTTTTCGGTCCAATTTTAAAGCCCACCAATGCCGCCGAGAGCAGGCTTCGAGTGAATTGGCGCGAAGTCCAATCTGGTATAGAGGTGGACTTCTGCAGGAACCGTTTAGCATAGTGTTGACGAGTGAGAAGTTGAGAAAAGAAACAAGCAAATCAACCACTGAAAAACAAATGGGGAGAACACCACAATGGCGCGGACGAAGTATCTTCCAGATTAGACGTGGACAACAAGAAACGTGGGAAATGAGATCCCAGACAACGGTAGAAGAAAAACCCACATACACTTTCCACTCTCGAGCTAAGCTTCACCCGCAAATTGACGTGATGCAACAGCGTCATCCCAGAGCAGAGTTCAAAAACTTCTACGGGAGAAAAGGACGCACAGACACAAGCCAGCAGGAGTTAGCAGCTGCTAGTAGAGACCTTCTAGTGACAAACCACGCGCTTTTACTTTAGTACAATTACCTAGACAGCACCGGCTAATACCGTGTCCGCGTGGAAGGAAAAGTGCACGTGCGCCGATTTGTTGGAACCGGGGGTGAGGGAGGGAAAGCCCAATCAATGCTACATGAAAGAGGAAAATACGAAGTCACAATATCTACCAGATGACTGATACAACGCTACTAATTAACGCCACGCGCATGCCTACGGATGAAATCAACTTGCCTCGTGGTAATTATAATTATAGTAATGATTGCAGCTTGGCAGGCAAAGTACGTAGAAGGTAGCTATTAGACAAGTCAGTCACACCACGCTATTTGGTGGGAAGCCGTGCCTCAAATTTATGGCAAATAGGCAGTAAGCGTGTGGTCTTGCTAGAATTCATTGCTTTTTTCACGATTTAGTCTGCGAGGAGAGAAACTTGACGGTAGGAAACAAAAACGTGTGCTTCGTCTAGTAGAAAACCGCCATACTACTAAGAGGTGAGAGAGAGAGCGTAAACCGATTCTAGCCATTAAGCAATCGGGTGGTAATTATCATTAAAGGAAATACTGGAAGGAGTTGGCTATGGGTTCCAGAGGTGTAGCGAGAACTTGAATTCTACCACGGAACTAAGGCAAACTGCGAAAGACAAGGCCTGAAAACTGTTTGAGAAGGTCGCCAAAGCGTACTTTTCACGTTTGATGGCGTGTAGCTGAATTTTTCGGGTTGTCAAATAACTGAGTTGCAAAGGCAGGGGAAAAATGCAAGTTTTTTACGCATTGTGCTGCTGCGAAGAACTGAGAAGCCTTGACGGCCAAATCAGACAATAGGACAAAACGGAGCGGCGACCGACTGTGGGCTTCTGGAGGCGAAGGCGAAGAGGTTTAGAGAGTCAAGTAAAGCCTGTCTAAACAGCCAAGCGACGTTCTCCAACGAAGTTATTTTAGCCGAAATCATCGAAATATGGGAGAAGATGGACGTAAGTGGATATTTCTTTAGCGGAAACACCACGATCAGTGCGGCTTGCGTAATTGTTAATAGCGTATTACTAGGCGTCACAGTAAGACTAAAGCCGCGCTACCTAGCAGCGAAAGTAGGTTATAAAGATGACGAACCATTCGTAGTGCATCCCAAGATATCAAAGAATGCAAATTTCAGGAGCCGTATAGGCGACATTCCAGAGTTAAATGACGATGTCAATGTCAGTAACTTGAGAACTGAACTGTTCTACAGGCATTCATTGCGTCGGGTTGCTTTACTTTTACACGAAAACAGGTAGACGTACAGGTAGATGGGGTTCCTTTTACATGGGCGAATACACACACAGAGAGAGCAAACGTTTAAAAATTTGCTCACATGAAGCAACTCAAAACCGTTTCCAAACAGCAAGTTTTGTGTAAGATACTACTCCGACACCACAAGATGCCTAGAAATTGTCAAAATGAAGGGTTTTGGGGTTCAGGAGTTAAACAGATGATTCAAGTGTGTCTGGCTGGCTTGCCAATGAAAACATAATGAAATTGCCGCAAAACATCAAAGGGAAAACACGATATTTATTTCGGCCACATAAGATACGACAACTTCAGGTTCACGATTAGGAACGGAGCACTTTGTATGGTAACCCTCATCGATGTAGGTATTAATAGACTGCAGAAGTGGGTTCGATAACAGAATGGAAGTATTCGTTTTTTTAAAAAAAATAGAACTGACATCTGGATGACGCAGATGGGAAGGGACTGGATGCGCAGAAAAATGTTTTATTGCTCGAAGTTGTCGTGATGTGACTGTCACAACAAGCACACAGACATTAGTGAAATTTCCAATTACAAAAATTGAGAGATTGGTGCATAAGTGTACGAACAATAAACAGCACTGAACAGTCCGTCACAACGCCACGAGTGTACTCGTGTGCATTTGTCCGCATACGATCGAAATTGTTTAGGGCACGACAAACGAATGCCTCCTACTATTAATATTGCCCCTTAAACCATCCAACGGGAAAAACATGTTGCAAACTGGTGCAACACAAAATAGATGGAAATTTAAAAAAAAATTCAGCTAAAATACAAGTATCAACTTATTTAGTGAAACTTTGAACAGAAGCGATAGAGAAGGGGCTCTGTGTATCAGCGTGTATTTGAAACTAATTCTACAATCTGTAAAATAAAATGACATCGGATTTTTAACGCTTGAGGTAGACTCTGCCTGCACATCTGAAGTTTTAATATTGACGTGTGAATCCGCTTTCACCGAGGTCTAATGTTTTGGCCTTTCATTGTTCTTTGACCATATGGAATTAAGAACGAGTTGCTGCGCTTTGTTAACAGTAGCGGTCGGGTACTGTACATAAAAGTATATGCGGCATAACCACCTGGTGAAGGAACGGCTATTAGGTTAGTTAAACCCGTTGTTACAGCCTAAATATAGAAGTTTGTGTTTCTAGGGGAGAAGCGTCGGTTATAAGACAGATTTATCCTTAAACAAGTGCACGGATTCGTAAAGCAACGTCGACTACCTAACTCTTATCATAAGGCGATAAGAAAGACAACGAGAACATCAAACTGGAGTGTTAACACTAAATTTAATAGTGTTTTGGACGCAATGGAGAAATGGGAAGAAAATTTTCCTGGCATTGAAAATCGAAAGCCTTTTGAATTTATCGGAAACCCTTACGTTAACTTCACCCAAACACATATTCGAGCTAGAAAGAGGCTAGCCATTTGGGCTAACTCCAGCTCCAGTTCGGGCCCAGACCGGTTCCAGTGCTGGTCGATAAAGTCCTGCAGAAGCCGACGGCGCTTCTCTTTGGGAGAACGATCCCATTCTCGAAGAAGGCAAATCATATTATGAGTTGCGGTGTCCTGTCTCACCGACGCCATGGCCACGCAAAGTGTGTGAAAATAAGACAAGAGAGAAAATTCCCCGAATTTGTCTAAACATAAACCAAATATGACAAATAATGTACAGAAATGTGCTTTAAAATTCGTCAGTTCGCGGTGGCCCTACTTACAAAAGAGACAGCTATTCAAATAACATCACGATTCAATTTAAGTAACGACACTATAAAACATGAGCTAGGCACAGAATTCAGCTGGTAACGCGAAAAACGTGGTTACCCATATTTTATAGCTCCAAAGTCAAAAATGACAAATATTTATGTTGTTGCTCTACAATCTGTTTGCTAATACTCAAGGCGATTCAACATATACTCCAAGGGCACATAAAATAGCTAACTGCAGATATCACTCATGCCTCATGTCTGAGTAAACAACAATCTTGCAAAAAGCCACAGTAGAAAAGCTAGAAAAACCCCTAACTTAACCGAATGCAGAAAATAACACTTAAGTATGGAGCAGATTACCAGACAAAAAGATAAACGTTACTATTTTACTAGTGGAAATAGACACCAAGTGACTTACAGATAAACCCCTTAGGCTCAAAACGGACATTACCATCTTAGATACGTCAATTGACACCTAAGCAACACAGATTTTGTGTTCATCCAGTCAAAGGAATATAAAGGATTATAAAACGCAAAGAAAATCCAACCAGATTACACTATTTACAAATAATGGGCTCAATGAAATGCACTCAATCACGTCTTAATATCAAGACGTTGTACCATTGCATCAAACTAGAATCTCAGAAAACCGATAAGCGCTATTATTTTCATCTGTCATTTTACGAATGCATCCTGTTTATAACATTGCAAGTAAAAAAATAATTTCAGCAAAAATACGCGCATTTTTTTTCAAACTATGCCAAAGTTCGATGACGAAAAGTCTGAGACAAAAATGGCATAAAATGCCCCGTATTTGGTGTAAAATAAGACATTTGAAATTGAGTCGTGTCTACTAAAGCAAAATTAATAATTTTTTATTAAACGAACAACAAATATTGCTTTTAAAACAGTTTCAGCGTTCATTTCAAGTTTCCATACAAAGTCCACATAAATTTGAATGAAGCAATTGAGCACTAAATCGTGACATTATATTGATACTTGTAGTAGTGTTTGGCAATATTTCATATGTCAGTATATTTTAGACTTAGAACTACGTTTTTAAAAAATTGCATTCGTCTTCTGTATTTTATAGATGTCAACCAATAGACATTTACCGGGTGCTGTCAGGATAGTGTACACTGACAACTCTAATTTTTAAAAAGTTTACAATTTTGAATGTGTGTGATTGAAGATATCTTTAATTGATTCTGACGACTTAAACGAGTTTGTAAAGGTCGATGATATTCTTGATGCAGAAAATATAATATAGTAAAGCAAACTAAATTACGAAATTTTCACCGAAGTAATTTGTATTGAATTGAACACTGTCGAAGATGCATTAATTTAGATGATGCCAGTCACAAAATACCAGCAAGGTGTCATTTTTTAAGCCTTTTTATTGAAATTTTTGGATCTAATGTTTTTTTCCGATATTTTCTGCAGAAGACACAAAAGCCTTCGCAAGCGTTAGAAGGAAAGCAAAATCGAAGCAAATTAACTTTTAATATAATAAGATATTGATCTTTATTTTTTTTATAATTTGAAACACAGAACTAAAATCCATAGCAACGTTTCGGCTTATGGGAATTTCAATTTTTAATCTAGTTTTTTACATTAATCAAAATGTAATAATTTTGTTTGCTTTGTTGTGCAATTTTAAAGATCGAACCTGCATTCACATCCACAGTTATTTAAAAAATGTTCCTTTAAATCAGACGTGCTTGCTTGATAAATCATTGACGTGGTTATAACGGATGGAATGTTTTTGCGTCATGTCAAAGTAAACCCAAAGCCTTATAGTCCGCAGCAGCACCCCAGTGAAATTCATGTTTTTTTTTTAAACCAGGTAATATAATTTAATTAGTCTAATAAGAACTAGCTTCATAATTTGACTGTTATTGCCATCTAAGCTCGTAATGGTTTAGAAACAACGGATTGTTGGTGAACAAAAAATGACAACTCTCCTAGCTTACATATGATTTGAGAATTCTAGTTAACTTTTACTTGGCAACTTCATTTTGTGTCAACAATAATGGACTACGTTTATTACAGCCGTATTGTTTTTTAAGTAAACTGATTTAAATTTTACGATACTTTACAACGTTTCTGTCCCTTGATTCCAGCGCGTGGGGTTACATACATGTATTAGTTGAGTGTTTTGTTGTGCTGGCATGATGAGTTACTTAATTTACTTAGTAATATAATATTATTAATGCTATATTCTCAAGTTTGCTTAAACTATCCAGTACATTTTTGTGACTTATTATACTTGTATTTGAAATCAAATTTCAAATAATTTTAAGTGATTAGTCTCAAGTTGCTCTGCGGCTTTGTTAAATGTATATTATTGTAGCCAGCAGTAATTGTAAACTAGAAGCGTGTCCAACCCTTATGGCGTTGGCAATCCAGCACCTACAATGTGCTACAGTAATGAGTGAAGGATCAAGGGACACTTAATTGAGCGAGTCTAACATAGCATAAATGTACATTAGACTCATCTACCTCGAAATCAATTCGAATTTGTGGTGTTTAAACTACATAGGCCGCCAACAACCTTCCCTTAATATATTCTCTCAAATGGGTTAGTCTTGTAAATGAGTGGTGATCAGTGTTTAAGAAATGTTCATTTTAGATGAGGTTTGGGGTACTTTGACCGTTTTTAAGCGTCACTCCGGTCCAGTGTGTCTTAGTGTATGGATGAATGAGAGGATGTCAGGCGTCAGATAGCTGTAGCCATCAGGTCTGTAAAAAGGGTTCACTCAGGCATCATTGATGCTAATCCGTTACAAACATTAAAATGGCCAAAAAATCGAGAATCTTCAGCTATGAAAACTTAAAAGGACTGCCAGTCGAAGTCAGGTCCAGCCCTCGAAAGTTAACAAGTATTGAGATTAATAGCTTAAATTGATAAAAAAATCATTACGGGTGTTTTAAGTGTAAAACACTGCTTCACAACAAGAAAACCGTACATGCTGTAGTATTGCAAAGAAATAGGCGCGAGGTCGTATTCTAATTTGTAAATACAGATTTTAATGCAAAAAACAACAAATTTGCGGAAAATTTTTCTTTGACAAATTTAGTCTACGGATTCAGTCCTTTTAATGAATCAACCTAACAACCCAATGAAGTCTTAGACGAAGTCATTTAAAGCTACATGATTCAGGCATGTAACACTATTTATTCCAGTAAAATTGTTCTTTACAACTCTCCTACAATAAAAACCTTTAGGTGATCTCGAAGACACTAATCATTCTAGTGGCTAACATGAACACAGAGCTTCGTGAAAGAAAGTGCTAACATCATCTAATTTAAATTTATTGAAAAAGCCATCAACTCATTTTGCAAGAATCCATGACGTTAAGGAAAAATGCTTTGATGG